TGTATGTAAGTACTTTTGTATAACCTCTTAGTATGTTTAATCCATATATGTATGTATTTGCGTTACACAGTTTTGATATATATATTTTTTTTTGGTTGCTAATTTGTTGTTTGCTGGCCTTATCCGTTAGTGAAGTTGTATATGTGTGTATTTACTTTCTATATTTCCTTAATTGCCATTTCAGCTTTGTTTCATGAATCGGTTGTTGTCCGCGTTTGCGTATGTTTTCTTCGTGCGTATGTTGTGGTCGTTTTGTTCTTAACGCAAAATCGACCTCGTGGTCGTGCACCCAAATGTTGTTTCATGCTCTGGTTTCAAAATTCCGTTTTGGCGTTGTTATCGATAGTTTTCTAGTGCCCCATCTCCACATATGTACTTGCTGCCTTAGCATATCATCGATAGCGATATATTTCGGTATGTAGTCGACAATGGCGCGAATTCGAATATCTTTTGTATAATGGACGACATAAAAACTAGCGTTTTGTTAGAGACCAAAAGTTCTTTTACTGATATGCAAACTTGATTTTTATTTTAATATGTTTTCTTTGTATTTTGCAATTGTGGTTGTGCCATTCTTTACTGAGGTAGGTCTTATTGCCGATGAAATGATGTAACGCTATTACTATGCAAATAGAATAATTAGTTTCGTTATGTATGTAGTAGATATGCTTCGCTTAAGGTATTTAATATATAAATCAACCTGGTCAAACTTTCAATAATTTAAGTTCCCTGATATTTTAATGATTTTGATATAGGAATATTTAAAAAAAAATTTAAAAAAAACTTCAATCAATTACTGTCCACATGTGCATATATCCATGAATTGCTCATTTCGCTCTTAAATTAATAAAGAAAAAAATGAAATTTAATTTTTAACGATATAATAATTTCACGATTCTCAAATTGAAATTTGTAAATTTTGATTAGCACATGCAGCCTTTAAAAGAAGGGCAATTTTAATGTTGAATTTCGAATTGATCTTTATTAAAAAACTCTGTTTTTTCCGGAAATAAGTTGAACATTTTATAAATATATGTACATATGTATTTTAATTGCTCAATTTCTCTATAACACAATTCCTATCATATAGTGCATTAGGTATCATAGTTTTTAGCAATATTAGTTTCTCAAATAAAAAACTCAAAAATAAATTGCCATTAGTAGTTTACAATCGGATTTTAAATTCGGTAGGTGCACACATTAGCCTTAAAACATCGACTGAAGTTAGGGCCTACTACTGCGGTTCACTGCGTTCGCTGAACATAATGAAAGCAATTTTTTTCATATTACATTTCAGGTTAAAAACAACGATTGGCTGCTTAAAAATTCCATAATTTTCATCATCATTATATATATTTCTAGTTTCTAATAATTATAATAACATATATACATATATATATACCATTCCATATTTTATGTGATGGGCTTCTGCGCGTTGGTCGTCAATTTAGCTGAAATTCGGCACATATGTAGTTTAATTTCATGTAAAATATGACAGAAATCGACTGGGGTTATGAGAAAATTTTGAAAGAAAGACAAGGATAGGAACTTAAGTTTGCTCTACCCAATCGACAAACAAAAGCCGGGAGAGACTTTGTAAATCATCTCGTGATATTTCTTCGCACATAAGACCTTGCCTAGCAAACTATGTAGAAATCCGGCTGTCAAAGAACCGATTGGTATTTAATAGTGTGGTTTGAGACCTGCACGATCCACCATTGACAAGATATTCACCATGCGCGTAAACTAACGCTGAACAACACCAAATGAGGTCTGTGCTTCGTCTGCCTTGAATACTGGCATGCACTTGAGCCTTATTCAGACCAAAATTTAAAAAAAAAACCTAATGCAGTCGCCCGTTGGCAGGGAATGTCAATACCTCTGTTTGTATTTTTGACATAAAAAATGTTTCTCATAAAAATCTATCAACTGTTTCAAGGCAACTTTAGACTGTATATTTGATCCCTACAAAAATTGGGAAAAATACTTGTCATTGATGAGTTTCGTTTATCCCGTGAAAATCTCGTCTCATCATTCAATAAGGTTTCATATACGTATTCGTACTCGGTGGCTACTTTATTTTTGGGGAAGGGCAAGATTAAATAAAAATATTTCAAACACAAAAATTTTCTTACGCTTTTACATACAACCGGTCGCTGGATAAAAGTAAATGAATCTTGTTTATGCGGTACAGAAGGCAAATAAAAAAATATTCAATTCTGTCGTTAAATCCGTATAGAGTTTGAGTCCGTCACCATCCGAAAACAGCACACTCAACTGGGCAATCACAAAGGTGTATTGTTCCACTAGGATAATGTTAATCCCCACAACTCAAGTATTGATCAAATACTTACAGAACTCAATGAGAAACTAACAATACTATATAGCGAACCCTAATCTCCAAAAGAGTGCAAGCCAAGATACGTGTATAATCGATTTTCTGTTTTTGATGCAAATCTACACCCTACCGTTATAGAGTATTGGGGAAAGCCATTGTAAAGTTTGGAATGTTTTGTGTGAACCCAAAAACGCGTCTACTTTTATCGCTTATACCTGTTCGGCTCTATGCCCTCATATATGTAAATAAATAGATACATTTGCTTTGAAAATATGAGCGAACATCCGAACAATCAAATATTATCATTACCTGTTGGATTCGTTATGTTTCATCAATTATTTTCGTTCTGCAGGTTGATTTAACAGAAAATCATTTCACCCACTTAAAAAGTAAAAAAAAAACTCTGGTTTCAAAGAATCTATGCGTTTCGATATTAAATACAATATGTATATATGTATGTATGGCAAGCTCTAATAGGTACATCTATTTTTATTTGGGATTCGGCTCGAGGCTTGCCCTTATAAACCTAAAAGTATTCAAGGCATCATTTCGTGCCTTAACTCAAGTAATTGAAGAAATTACACCAAAAGAAACTTACTATCTCGTGCGCTCTTTAGTTCGGAGGTGTGATTGGAAACGACAACGGCGAGACTCTTCCTGAACATTCGAAGCGTTATGATCGTATAATAACCTATTTTTTCTGACCTGCGTGTGAAAAGCGCGACTTGGACAATAGGTGAATGAAATTTCCCGGCCGCGCAATCTCTCAACTTGGCGAAGTCAATTTGCCACCGGCAAGTTATAGATAAAATGCCGCCCTATATGTGTCAAAGAGTGGTCGTAATTACCTCAAACGGATCGAAGTTCGGAAAAATTCGTGAGGTGACCATTAGAATGATGCATTATTTCATATACATACATATAATACCAAAATTCAAACTTTCGAATAAAAAAGGAATTTCTTGGAAAAATTATTTTATACACATTTCATTTACGTTTATTTTCGAAGCCGCAAAATGGATAAACCTGTTCCTAATATATAAAAGAAGCAATGCAAAATGATATTTATCGAAATCGGATCGTAATAATCACACTTGCAAACATTTAATACATTTATTTCACACTGAAATTTTGTATTGCTTTCCTATTTTACATCCATAGAGCCATTTGAAATGCTTAATTAATTTCATTTAATTAAATCTACAAAAAAAAAAATTGATAATACTAAATAATATACACATACATATTAACAAATGCAACCGTACGTTCATCATACAATTTTTCAAATAGTCTAATAGCGTAAAGTTGGTGGCTGATAGGACTTTATTGCGTTGCGTGACACTTCAAACGCAACGCAAAAGTTCATTCTACCTGCCATCGGCTCCACGTCTGCAAAAATACAACTGATTAATTAAAATCGATAACAATCTAGCAATTGGCGCCATATGATATATATGAAGATGTGTTATAAAGCCTAACTCCACTAGACGATGACCTCTTAATAGAACTGACCGAACCAGAAAAAGATTGGAATATATCTCCAACTTTTGACTGTCTCTTTTTTTAATTACCTTTGCCGCCTAACACTACAACCAGCGGTTTTTATTTGTTGTTTTGTAATCACAAATCAATTTTAAAAATTTGTTATAAATTAAAGTAATAAAAAAATACCAATAACCATCGCAGGGAATTTTATGTTCGGCACAAAATTCGAAATTTACAGCGTTGTAAAGCCACTTTATACGATCTACGGGTGCCAGCGGATTTTCGAAAATGGTATACAACTTATAATAATTGCCAATAATTTCCAAGGAATACCAAACGAACAGATAATTTACATTTTTAGCAGGAAAGATCGTATTTATTCTTAGCATTCGCCGGAATTTCCAACAGACACTTGTTTGCTTAAGCAACGAAAGTAGATTGATTAATAAAAAGTCCATTTTAGAATGATTTCTTTTATTTTTTTCTTTATTGCCTGCATAAAAACAATCAGAATACTTCTGTGGTCTGGAACGAAACTGGTGATTTTTATTTCCTTATTGAACTAGTATTTTACTGGTGTATATCTGACCACAAGATAAACTGACAGTTTGCAATCCTGAGGATGAACTCCGGGTTAAAAAAAAAATTGTTTCCAAATTGGGTTAATAGGAGACTGTCATATTTATCTCTGATCAGAATTCAAAAAAAAAAAAAAAAACAGCTGGTAACATGGAAAACGGAGAGTTGACTACCGTTTCAAAAGAGTTTTTAACTAGTGAATTTTACTACTGGACTAATACACTTTTGCTTCTGAGTCTGTCTAATTCTGCTTCGCTCGGACCTCGCTTCGCTTTGCATATCAGTGAGATTGAGGAAATGATCAGAATTTTCCATTAGAGATTTCAGAAATATGGTTAGCCCATATTATAAAGAGTACATGATAATTTTATACACACACATACATATACATACATGGTTCATGCACTAAATATACAACCAAAAAAAATACAACATACATATATATTTAAATGAATTATCTACTTATATTCTTGCATATACATACATATGTACATACATACGTAAACACACAAAAATAATGGAACAAAGCGTTAGCATGCGCCGTTGACTCCTACAAAAAGTCATTGGCATTACCGCCATGACTTCCATTAGCTATTACCTCAATATGTTCGCAAACGCATATGCCCTCCTCGCAGTAGGCACATACTTGCCATTTCCTTCCGTTAGTTAGTCCCTTATAAGAAATGTGCGAATCGTTGCTTAGCAGAGGCTCATATTGTTGTTGTTGTTGTTGATTAAACTGCAGATCCTTCAGCTGCCGCCTAACGCTACTGCCCACACCGCCAACTAAGCTCGCCTCCTGGTATTCAATGGGCATATTGCGTCGCATTCGATATACACTGCACTTACGTTCTAGCGGTGCATTCGGTGGTTCTTTCATTAGCTCATCATCATCATCATCATTATCATCAGCAATGATTGTGCTTGGTGTAGTAAAACTTTCAATCTTACCAACAATGTTGCTAGTTACATCGCGTTGTTGATGGATTTGTCGTTTGCCAACATGCCCTGGCGAGGCCATCGGCGTGGCCGGTGTCACAACGATTGCATCATGGTGGGATACATTAATGGAAGTGTGATCAACAGATGACGTACCCGCCTTCGCAGAGGTGGTTATTGCACCTTCGGCCGCAGCCGATGGCGACGTCGGTGGCGTAGTTTCCATTTGTGAAACAAGTGGCAACGTCGCTGTGGCAGATTTAGGTAACTTTGGTTGATAAAAACTACTAGCACCACTACCCGAATGCCGGTGAACCAGCTTCGGTGAAACACCGCCATGAAAATGGTGGTGGTGATGGTGCTGCTGATGCGCGGACTGGCTATGAGTTGGCGGATGTGCCTGATTCGGGTGTGCGTGACTGTGGGAATGATGCATTTGAGTATGCATATATTGTACGCGCATCTGCAACACCGACTGATTATCACCTTCATCAATGGGCAGTAGAAGCTTCGATTGTGTGGTATAGCTGGCGCTTAATTTCCTTGCCTGCGTTTGTGGCGTGCGCAGATAGTTGGTCGGCAGCTGGTGGAATTGCCTGGACTGTGTGCGCGTGGGCGTCGAAGCACCATGTTCACTTATCGACAACGCTGCTAATTTCGGAGGGTGAAGTTTTGCTTGTAATTGTTGATTTTTCTTTTGTTGACGCTGACGCTGGCGCGCCTGGCGTGAAGCCAATGAGGCTCCACCTGCTGCTGCATACATTTTCTAATATTTTTTTCTTTTTTTTTTTTGCACGCACCCTATTTACAACTGTTACGCATTTATCGTATTAAATCAGTTCATTCTATATATGTTTCACTTAATTCAGATGCTGTTGTATATACACATATGTATGTATGTATGTATATCTGAGCTATGGTGCAAGAGAGAGAGAGAAAGATATTCCATTACCATATACTACTACTATGAACCCCAATGCTGAGAGCATGACAAATCATCAAACACGAGAGATGATCAAACATTTAAAATACTAAGTTCTTTAAAATCTTTCCCAAAAGATTTACTTCTAGATGAAAATAAAAAATAATGAAAACCTCTCAATATTATAAATGTTTGATTATTTGTCCAGCCCGCAGAATTGGAGTATCTTTTAAATACTAATACTAATCAATACTCAACTAAAAGTGTAAGACCAACAAACATCTTAACTTGGATATGGAGGAAAATGTTCGGATACATATGTAAGTATGTAATGAGAGGCGAAATATTATTTTATTTGCATGTTTTTCTTATTAACTATTTCTATAGTCTACGTGGATTCATTTTACAAAAAAAGAGGGTACATTGTTTAATAACAATTTGAATCTAAGAGCGTCTCATCTAAAGTAATGAAATGCTTGATAAATAATTCCATACACTTCAGTCTTGTTCTAAAAAATAAAATTTCCATATAAAACAAAGGATGCTTTTAACATGTGGTTTTCAAGAAGAGATAAAGCGTCTTAATGTTATGGCCAAGAATTTAGCTTTGAAGATAACGGCTTGCCATTATATATTAATAAATTATCTCCGGTAAATGATGCCACTACGGCTGGCTCGAAGTTCAGACAAGAGGCCCAATTTTTTACCAGTTTTTGCAAAAATCACTAATAACGCGCCGAATATTCTCTTCCAAGGTGTCAATCGTCTTGGTCTTATCTGGGTAGACAAGCGACTACATATAACCACACAAAACATAATAATAATACAGCTGTTAAATCGCGCGATCTTCCCACTCAACAATAGTTTTCTTCAATATATTGTTTGTTTCGTTAACTGTGTGGCATGTAGCGCCATCGTGTTGTAACCAAAGGCCGTCCGCCATTAATAATGCCACAGATCCATTCCTCATTAACTGTAATAACGATGTATAGTTGCGCGAGTTACCGAATCGGCCGAACGATTATGTTGACCGAATTTTGGATGCAGCGCATGACGCGTCGCGCGAATCGAACTCTTACTTTGTTAATTAATGCAAATGCATTCTCTTCATTAGGAAATAGCAAACCGAACATAATATAAATCAAGTAACAGCTGTCAACCAGATCATCTCTGGAAAAGTATCGTCTCGTCGAAAACCACACGTCTATAAAACAACCTTTTGTTAAAAAAAAAAATCACCACCAAAATTTTGTAGATTTGCTAATTTATTGGCAATAAATATCATTTTACTGATATTTATGCATTTATTAACTAAAACTCTTCGATAAACTCTTAAACTCGATAAATTTTCACCATCCATGTGACCTCTTATCGAGTTTATCAGCAGCTTATCAATCTAGATGAAGACCTATTAAATAAATTTTTATTTATAAAATATGTTGAGACGATTGAAAATAATATTACTTCTATTCTTCTGACGTGGGTTCTTTAAAATATCGAAGTCCACTTTATGTAAAGCAGACAACAATTGTTTTTGCGGAGGCGTAAGCATTATCGGCACCCATCTTGCGCTGACCTTAGTCATGCTAAGAAGATCTTGCAGCTATTTAAAAATGGTTGTACAAGATACTCCTAAAATTTCTGGAGGTTGTTGCTTCTTTAGCCGAGGAACGTAGAGTACAGTTTTTTCATTTTTTTTGGATAAGTTATAGCGTGCTCTGCCTCGAGTCATCTTCAAGGGATTCGCTTCCTCGTTTAAATAAACTGTACCAATTATACATCGGAGTATTTCACGGACTAGAGTCGACGTAAATCAATGACATCTCATTCATTATGGTCGCAATTGATTTTCCCTGCTTGGTAATGAACTTTATAACGACACGATATTTGATTATTTCCATATTGCACTCAGTCCCAAATATTACGTTGCTTGTTTGACGATAGTTCAAAGACTAATTGTCTAAAAACACCGACACCCTGTATTTATACTCATTATGGGCCGCTGCCCACGTTACGTTCGTAATGAACCTAATCAACTCCACAATCCTCTCATTCCACGAACATAAAAACGATCCCTCGTATGTGAAATTCTACAAAAAGCAAGTTTCCAAAGGATTTATTCAAATCAAAATACGAAGATGGACAGTAGCAAGTCTGTTCTTTCTTAATTTTTCTTTCCAAAATAATTTTAAAGTCGCAGTTTTATTAAGTTTAATTGATTTTTTTTTTTCAATTCTTCCTTCAAGACTTAAGCTGTGCATATCTTTTTATTTTATTCAAGGGAATAAACAATCTTCGAATCCGTAGGACAAGTATATAGAAAACAAAATGTTTGTTCTGCCAACTTAAACTAGGAAGAATCGTCTCGGCAATATCGAAATACGCATACCCTGAATGAAAGGAGCCCATTTATTGTATATACAGGTCTCATCTGCGGTGATCAATTCTTTATGTAAACCTACCAATTTGAGCTCAGAAATACAATCGGAAGTATTGAGATTCCCTGATGAATGGCGAACAAATTATAAAAATAATTTGTAGATGTTGGGACAGGCTCAAACTCACGTTCTTCAGGCTCATTGTGCGCTGCGTAAGTTTGAGAATTCTGATGTGACGGATGGTGTGTATTGGTCCCTTTCGCTCGGACACTTTATAATACTTGCGCATGGGGAATACCAGTACGATGGTGAATTTACCCACACTGATTATATCGTTGATCGCGAACTATAATCTTTCAAGCCTTACATTCCTTCTTAACGATTGTGCAACTACGGTTCTGACCCTATCTTCAATAGCAGCTCATTTGTATTAATAATTCCTGTTCTAACTGAACAACCGTCATCAGCTCGTCTATGAAAATATGCCCCTGCTTTGAAATATTGAGTAATTTGGCGCCTCTTCATCTAGAGTCTTGGATGTTTTGGTTTTTACAAAGTTTTCCATGCTGCTCGTACTCACTCGCTTGATCTTCATATACCGCTTGGGCTATTTTCGACCGAACTTCATCTTTTTGGTGTTTATCTTAACGTTTTGCCTACAAATGAGAGGACCTCCCTTACAGAGGGACGAAATGGTTACTGCTTCCTGACATTCAAGGAGAAGACAGCATACAAAAAGTTGAAAGATAATTCGAGCTAAACGCACACTGTAACCGGGAAAAGAAATCCTTTTGCTACGTGGAAGACACTTGTTCCTTCCCGAATCAGGAATCAGGTTCCTCCTTTCACCGCTTTCATCCGTCTTCCAAGCAGAAATTTTGCTTAATACCGAATGCCAAATAGAAATTCGCATTTATAAGGAAACCTATTAAGTTTCAAGTAGAGGCAAATGTAATTAAAGCAATTAAATATGCTAAAATGTGGGAGAACACGCAACGAGGCAATTAACAGAACTTCAAGAAAATGTACAGCGTTAACTGCATTGAAAGAGCGGACGACACCACGGCAAGACTGTCAGTATCCACTGTCTCAGATCTTAACAGCGTCCTCAAAGCGTAGGTGGAAGAAACTCTAAGGCAGTTTTGCAAATAAAGCGAATTGTGCGCTAACACATAATTAGTTTACGCAGGGCAACAGCGCAATGAGGCATCTCAATACATTAATGGTGGCCGGTCGCTGCTGTATTAAGTAAATGTTAAATATGTGCATTTAAAATAAAGAAAATGGACGATAAAACTTTATAAAAATCATAAAGAAAGAGGGAATAGAAGAGTTTTCACAGCATTCTAGCACTCCTACTGTACATATAAAGGGTGCTTTTCTAGACGTGTGGTTTTCGCTGAAGCATAATTTTACAGTCAATGGAGAACTCTATAGAGCTATGATTAATGCCTTATTCGTGCCTGAATTGAAGACTGTTGATGTGGACGACCTTTGGTGCTACCTGCTATACAGCCAAGGAAATAATCAATTTATTGAGAGAAACTTTTTATGAGCGCAATATCTCGCTTTGTGGGCCTCCAAGATTGTACGATTTAACATCGATGGGCTATTTTTTGTGGGGTTATGTGAAGTCGCTGTCAACGCAGATCAGCTCGAGACGATTGACGTCTTGAAGTTGTGGTTAATCCGTTATTGCTGATATAGTGGCCGAAAATTGGGCATCTCGACTGGAATTAATTCGTGTCATATGCCCGAAATCAGTTTTAAACATAATGACACACCCTATCATTATAAAAAAGCTTAATTCTTGGCCATAACATTAAATTATATGCGTTTGATTACTTCTTGAAAACTACAAGTCTAAAAGAAACACCTTTTATCATATAAAGTTTGCTTACAGAGGTCATGGTTTGCGTCGTGTACAATAAAACTTGCAAAACTTACCCAGTCTACAAACATATTTACTGAAAAGGTCGCAGCTATGTAGATGTATATATGTAAATAGTATATATATACATACACGTACATTCACATAGGCAAAAAGTCCTTGCTAAAATTGAGTTGAGGTGAATTTTTCATCTACATCTACTAAGCTACTCATATCAATATTCCAAACATGTCTACATATGTATGTAAATGGCCATCGATATGGAAAATCTACTATTAATTTGTTTAAAATGTCTGTCATAAATTTTTTATTTAAGTTTTTCGCATATCAACATAGACATTTGATACTCGTCATAATGTGGGCTGTAGCGCATATCTATACATCAGTATGTGACCGAAGGAGCAGAACCACTCAAATACATACCTAAACACATACATATATGGATGCCGATGTGCTCAGAGTGACGAGCTGCCATGCAACTGTTGGTTGCAATTTCCTTTGATAAACATCAAGCACATAAAATTTGTATATTATCGACCCACGGTAATATTTATTACCCACACAGCTGATTCCTTAGAAAAAGCAGCAGATTTTGCAAGGTGAGTGCGAAAAGGTACATATGTATACATATGAGTAACATATTTACTTTGCCACAAAAATTAAGCTTAGTTGGCCTCGAAAAAGGTTTGAAACCTTCAATAATTTTGATTTTAATTAAAAAAAAATGTTGCAAATGGGGAATAAATGCTCTGGCGTATTGAACTACATCATCAGGATATTTATACACACATACATATATGTACGTTACACCTTGCAGTAAGAAAAAAAATAAGCGCCCTTGTTCTTCGTTATGATTTTACGAGGGTGAGTTTGACCGCTTTAATATTGTATCGTTTCTCTATTTCATTTAAAATTAGTATATATGTGTATATATGTATGTATGTACAACAGGCTCGACCTAAATACATACATACATCATTCTGTATTTATAGTATGTGACATACCGATACCCCTCCGTAATTTTTTTTTACTCTTTTTTTTGTGAAATTAAAAAAAAAATCTCTCTCTTTTATATAGAAAATTCTAAACTTTTTTTTCAAGAATTTTTCTGCTACTGCTAAAAACCATGTCACTAAGCACATTTTTTTTTTTGTTGTCTTCTTTTAATATTGAAATTACAATAACCAATAGAAAGAAAAGCATACTTGAGGAGGGTACGTATAATTATAATTCCATTATTCCAAATAACTTTTTATGTCGCGCTTTTATAAATCAGTGCACCGATTTTTGGAGTATCACAGAAGCAATAATATTTTCATTTTTATTTTACATACAAATTTACATATGTATTTAGTGGTGTAACATAAATTTCACGTCATTTTTCCTTCATTCACATTTCATGTTTTCATACATTTGCATTGCATCACTGCAAATTGCATTTATTTGCGAATTCGTGTATATTATATAAATGAAGTACATATATACTATATATGTAAGCATGTAAGCGTATATGTATATTCATTATTCTTTTTTTCTTTGGTACCACATTAAAACTAAACTTTTTTCCTTAAATTTTTTATGAAATTTTTTCTTCAATCAGTTATTACAGCAATTTCTATAATTTCCTTTTTTTCATTTGTGTTAAATTGTTATTTTTATTAAAACATAAAAATTTAGAAGCGAAATTAGGATCATCAGGCAATAACACAACAAGAAACACGCACAACCAAAACCAGACTAAACTTGAAGGTCCTAAATGTACTCATAGTCAAGGAGAGCACTCTGGTTAGTGGTTGAACGAAGAGCGAGCAAGCTATCGTGCACGCGAATTCGTAGGATACATGCTGCCCCTTTTAAACACTAACTCACGAAAGTAAAGCTCACAATTCTTAATTAGAAATTATTTATAATTATTTGTTGGAGTAAAATTACTTTGATTGTGGCTTGTAAAGTTTACTAAAGCATTTCATTTAAATTCATGATTTTGAACTCATAAATTATTTATGAATTCGGTTTACACGCGAATCTAATTCCACATTTCAAGCTCGCAATACGCTTGGCTACATTTCACAGGAATTGTCAACCTCTTCCTAATAAAAATTCTTCAACCTTTCGGAGGCGGCTTAAAAAAATGCTAAAGATCCTTGCATTTGATGGAAAACAATGCGAGACGAACCCAGAATTATTTCAGTGCTTACAAAGTGTCAATTGAACGTAAACATGAACCGAATTCGAACGGCTCTACTTTTTTTTATTTTTTTTCTCCTTAGCCCAACTACTTGGCACATACATCCTCGTGAACTATGCTGTATTGCAACTAAAAGCAATTTCAAAATCTTCAAAAAATTTTAATTTTTACACATTTTCTTAGTATGGCAACACCTGCTACCATAAAAGCAGTGAGTGAGCGAGCTTATTTTCACAGCTCTGCAGAATTTATAACAAACTTGGTCAAATAGAACTTATGCTGAAGGATAGCATTGTGGGTGTGATTATATACATTTTGTGTTGTCTACTTCGCTTGGTATAGAACGTCATAGGAAATGGATGGTTTTGCGAAATAATACTTTTACACTTCTCGTGCGAGAGTTCACAATATGTTTTTATATACATACACTTGACCTATGTACGTACGTATATTATGTACATACGTGTATGTATTATGATTTTTTTTTATTTGATGACATTTAAAATGCATATAATGAAATTAAGGATAGGGAAAAGGCTGGGGAGAAAAAGAACACAAGATTAGTTTAAATGACTAAATTTTATGCTCTCGAAATACAAAGAATTTGATCATAAATGCAGTTCGGTCATATATTTGACGATGTGCTAATTTATAGAACTGTTTTTTGTTAAAAATCAATGTTTAAATATTAAATTGATGAATCATCCAAATACTTTGAAGTTTCTATCAAATTATTCTAAGGGATGGATAGATACTTCTCTCATAATTTCATACTTCTTCATTACTACTGTACAGGAATACTTTATATTTACAAATTATTTTTTCCAAAAAAAAAATTATATTTCATTGAAAAAAATTAAAAAATTACATCAATCAAAATATTGTCGTCGGAAGTGACTATTTTTTCCATATCTGTGGTAATTTAGAAATACCATCTCTTAAAAATGAGTCCTCTCTGTACGCGACCCATTCACTGAGGCTTTATTCGATTACTTCAAAAGAACCGGCGACCCCGCCCAAGTCGAAAACGTCAGCAGTCAGAAGAAGAAAGGTCTGGAAAATACGATGGATGGGGCAAACTTGCTCACCCTATAGCATTGCCGCCTACATTTTGACCGTTACGGCCACGTGGGGAAGAGCGTTGTCATGTTGCAAAATCTTCTTGTCATGCCTTTCGGTTACTTCTTGGCGTTTTTACGTAATGCACGACTTAAACTCATTAGTTGTAGTCGACGATGTTTCGCAGCACCTGTCCAAAAATCTCCACTTTGAAGTATCAAAAACACTCTCTGCATAACATATCGGTCGGCGTAGGTTTACCATAAATTTCTACAAGCATTCGATGGGCTTCAGTTGCACTTTTCTGCCAATCAAAATGAAGAATCAAATTTCCCGTTCTCCCAATAAAAAAAATGTTGTTGACGAAAGTTTGCTTTTACCACTGTGATTTCTTTCAGCTTTTAGTTTCAATAATTGATTTGTTAAATACTAGTCTTAGGTGAATCATGCTTCTCAGTTAAAGCCCTTCGCTCAATAAAAGTCTTAGCTTGAAGCCTCTGAAGTTGATTGCTTAAATACGGCGGGATTTCATCTTGTCACACATATGTAATTTAAATGTAATATTCGGGTGTCTCCAATATTTACCAGCTGCCCACTTTTACTATCTTGGTCTGCGTTGATGCTAGGACATCGAAGGATGCTTAACGCTGTGTTACCAAGTCTTTCGTTCGGGTAACAACCAAGTCTCTGGTCGTACAGACAACCATACGTCGTACGAAGTCAACCTCAGCCTTTTTGGCGGAGTTTTCTGAAGTACCTTTGCACATCCTAGCGGTAAAGTTGCCAACCACGACTTCGAAAACGTAGGAATTATACTCGGATCTCACGTAGGTCACAATGCCAACTCATCTAAAACGTACCGATGTAATATAAAATAAAATAAACGGGATAATAAATTCTTGATGTAGGAGATGGACATCCAGAATTTATTATTGCCGACGTACTTAGCATTGAATTTTGAATGCACGAACAGATATAACGCGACCGAATTAGATAAAAATGGGTATTTATATACGGAGTAAAGCGGCAAGATAAAGGTCCCACAACCACTCCTTTTTCATACAACCGAAAATATTTCTTATTGAACTCATTTGGCTATAAATACAACCGCACTTCAAAAAGATCTAACTTCCCACTTTTACTCACTTTTCCTTGCTCCATTTGTTCCTCATACATAAGCTCGGCCAAGCTTGGTACAAGTAAGACGCCTACTTTGTTAGGCATGGTCCACTTGTGGGCTCGACGCGGTTGACATGGGAGCATCATGCGATGTGCTACCAATGTCATCTTTAGAGAGAAAAAAATTTATTTTTTACCGATTCTTAGAATTTCAGAATTTCAATGTATTCTCTGGGTCCTTAGGTATTTTCAAATGAGCACTAACACATTTTAATTTTAGATAAAAAAAAAATTGTACATCTTCACTGTGCTAAACACTAAGCGCGACTAATATAGAATTACCTAAAATTAGATAGAACATTTAGAAGTAAGGAAACCCAAATTCAGGTTCGGCTATTAATTATGTTTGTAATAATAATAAGTCAGCCGAGTTGTTAGCATTGCGTACTGAACACGGAAGACTCGAGTCTTGATTCGACCAACATCCAAAATTATAAAAAATTGATTTTTCTTATTGCGATCGCCTCTCGGTAGAGAAGCTCCTCATAAAATTCCATCAAACGTTCTGAGGCGGCTTAGAACAAACAATAGATCCCGCCATTCGTTGAAAAAAAAACCAAATGCATTTTTCAAATTGGAGGACGAAAAATGGCTTGAACGGTTACAAAACGCCATATATACATATGTATATAATATAATATATAATATATATGTATATAATCAGTCAGCCCGAAACAAAGCCTGAGTCTAGTAAATTTAAAAGAGTTACTGAACGAAATAAATCTTAAAGGAATCGTTCCGTCTTTAGCCAGACCAACAGACAATATATAGAAAATACCTTATGCAAAGGACGACTGGATACAATTAAGAAAATATAAAATTAACGCGAACAAATCAAAAAGTGATGGCCTCACGAATAGCATGTGTGGAATACACATAGGTTTTGTTTGTGTATTAGGGTAGTTTTCTAAGGACTTTGCCTTGCCGCGTCGAAAGAGCCTTGGAGTTAGTTTATTTGCTTTAAAGCGTAATTTTAACTCACGACAGAGTTTTCTTCACATCTTTTACAAAAACATTTTCAAAAAGGAGCACACACGAATTTCTGAAAAGAAATATTATTCAGCTCTCTTCTTTAAACTCACCCTAATGCTGTACATACATATATACCCTGTCGGAAAATCTGTTAACTTTCGATTAATGAAACGTAATATCAAAGTATTTATTTATAGTACTTTGTTGATCGTATTATTAGACAAATAAAAATTTAATTCTAACATATCAGCTTATGTGTAGTTATGACTAATCATAACCTCAAAATCCAAATGAAAACGGATCGTTTTACATACACATCAATCAGATTAAATGAACCGAAGAAAGGATTGTATTTTTAGAAGTAAAGAAAAGATATATTTAATAAATAACATAGCGATATGTGCTGCCATCGTATAGTATTCTGTAGTGCTTAATTCCTCACAGGGAATCTACTCGTGTGCCAAAAAAAAAAGAAAAAAGTAAATACTCATTAACCGCATATGTTCATTATACGCTTCTACTATTTATTATTATTTATTTATTAACTTCATAATATCCAACACTCAGGCTCATTGCTGCTAACAAAATTGCCACATACATATTTCATTTCTTGGCTGCACTTGCACACTTCTGCTACAATATTCGAAATTTCACCTACTTTGGCGTGTCTAAAGGTCAATTAATTTTCGGTTACCGTGAACCTCCAAATTTTGAACAAATTAATTTTCAGGAAAAATGACAAACCTTCGCTCTGAATTGCGCTTAACAAATTTTGTTATTCTGGACTGGAACTGTAGATTCGGACGGTGACTGAGCTATTCGAAGCAACGGGGGGATAAAACCATATTGCTGCTTTAAAGTTACAGCTTTCAGTAATTCTTTTGATGACTAATTGTACACCATTACGAATGACTGGATAACCAATCTGCTTTAATCCGGAGAACTCAAAAATTCCAACTATGGTGAAAAAAGTCGTCTTCGCCAGGTGATATCTAGCGTATTGTATGAAAGACCAAGCTCCATCGCTAATGAACTGATCGAACCTTACCAATGTGGCTTTAGACTTGGTCGATCCTCCATAGACCAGGGAAATATCGTCATACGCCACTTTTGGCTTATATTGAAGTGGTTATACCTCTACACCGCTATGTCTGGGTTTGATATTCCCGCAAAACGTATACGGCTGTGCAAACTGGCGCCGATCAACACCAATAGCTCCGTCAGCATCGGGGAGGAACTGTCCGAGCCATTCGATACCAAACGAGATTTCGCACAAAGAGACTCTTTAATGTGCGACTTCTTTAACTTAATGCTAGAGAAAATAATAAGAGCAGCAGCTATAAAACGAAGATACAAATTTTTATGCGAGCTTGTACTTGCTGGCATATGACGATGATACTAACATCATCGGCCTCATCAGACGCGCCGTTAAACCGCTTTCTCCAGGTCTGTTAAAGAACCGAACCGAATCGGTCTGGTTGTGAACCACGACAAAACGCAATATCTCCTATCATCAAAGTAACATTCAGCTCTCTCACACTTTGGCACTCAAATCATTTGCAGCTTACGTGAGCATTCCTGCCGGGAATGTTTACAAAACTCTTATCTAAAATTTCTCGATAGCGAACATTTGAATATCGACCTGTAGAACATTCAGCTAATCGATCTCTTTTTGTTTTGTCTGACATTCGCTTTTGGCATTTGTAGAATAGAAAATTGTTTAAGTGCTTGTAAATCAATATAGTTATTTATATATTCAATTTAAATTTTAATATGAATTAGAAAATATCCAATTAAGTATCCCAGTGGGCAAAATTGAAACTTAGTTCAAATGGCTAACAAGTAAGTAAATATAAATGAGTTGCAACAGTCACAAACTTTAATTCATAATTTCTGCAAACTTGTTACTTTAGAACAAATTCACTGCATCCCTTGGTATATTGGGCACAAACAAAGGATCAAATAACTCTAAAAGTTGACTTAAAAGATGCAAAGGTGAAGTTAACAAATTTTATTATATTAAAATAAAATGATAATATTAATATTTTACCCATATAGGCTCCTTACGTTCTCTTCGCGGAAAAGTCTGTGAAATTTTCCTCTGAGGGATACGGCGCATGCGGCTTTAATGCGTATAATTTTGAACTAATATTTTACAGTAACATTGATGAAGAAGTAAGCTGGTCTGGCCATAAGTGAACATATATACATACAACTTTTAATCATTTATATAGCATTGCAGCTATCGAGTTTACGACAGCAAAGTGGAGCTGCTTATTCAGAAATGCGAATGCAATTCATGGCCCCGTTTGATTTCTATACCACAAAAACCACATTGGCTAAGAATTGATTTTGATCGTTGGCAAACCGAGGAAGAAATGCTTGAAGATGAAAAGCCTAGAAATGTCTTGGAAGACTATTCGAAAGAACTTCAAAGAGTACAAAAAGAAGAATTTGGATACTTGAAAGGTAGGTTTAGGTCTTATGGTTATTTGGAATTATAAATTATGGATTCATAACTAATGTATTATATTTGTTTCTTTAATTGCAGAAAGCACTAAAAAAGTTTATATGGTGTTTTACAATTTGGCTCAATTCATTGGTTATTTATACATTCTTATTGTGATGGGTTTAATGTATTACCGCGATGGCATTATGTCAATGCCTAAAACCTACGAATCTGTGGGTAATGCAATGAAATTTTGTCAGCTGCTACAATATCTCGAGGTACTTCATCCCATTTTCGGTTATACAAAAGGCAGTGCACTCATGCCGTTCTTTCAAGTTTCGGGACGCAATTTCATACTGTTTTTCATGGTGGAAATGGAGGAGCGTATGCAAACGAAACCAGTTATATTTTATGTTTTCGTTATTTGGTCAATTGTCGAAGTAATTCGGTAAGAACATTTTGTAATCAACGTGGAATCCTGAAAGGTTTTGAACTTTAATAAAATAATTGTAAAATTTTTTCCTTAATATTGGGAAAATAGTATTACAAATATTTTCGGTGATTACATGCACATATATTTTTTATTATTTGTGTTCAAATATTTAATTTTATTTATATTTTCAGCTATCCATACTATTTGTCAAACATTTTTAACTTAGAAATTCGGCTGTTGACATGGCTGCGATATACTATTTGGATACCACTATATCCTATGGGCATATTATGCGAAGGAGTAATTATTCTGCGTAATTTACCATATTTTGAAGAAACAAAGAAATTGACGGTTGAATTGCCCAACAAGTGGAATTTTTATTTTAGTATGACTGGATTTATGAAAATATATTTACTGTTACTAATACTACCAGGAACTTTTTTGGTTATGTCCCACATGGCTAAGGTACGAGCAAAAAAGCTTAAAGGAAAACGAGTTGGAAGCAATTTCAATAGCGATTGTAAATAATAATAACATAATCAAAGAACACTACATAACAGCATGCAAAATATCATCGGTCGTAAATTAGAGAGAAAAATCATGGCACAGCTCTCATGCTTGTTTGAAACCTTATTTACTGTTAATACTCTCGATAATCAGCTATATCATTAATGAGACCCGGTAGTGACAAATATTAATTATTTCAGCGTTACAACACTCATGTGTTCAATACGAATGGGAAATACTTGTATATTTTCAAAAATGCATTCTATTCGTATTTTGGCCTTTTATTTCTTTGAAACACATTAATTTACTGTAAAATTAGCTCCATTTTACTTAGTACGATGATTAAGCTGTCAAAATGTATTTATTCATTTAAATAAAGCTTATTTAAAAAAATTACATAAATAAATTATAATAAAACCAGCCACTTGTTCTTTTTTTTTTTTTTAAATAAATACGCATTTTTTTACTATTTATTCTTGTATAAAATTTCTTAAAATCTATATGCCGTTATTTCCTATAAAATCAAAATAGTTCCTTTTCATTTCGTAGAGCTCATGAATACTGAGGAATATTACTCGAATATGCTCCCTGTAGTGGAGCAGAGTATGAAGATGCTGGTGCAGGTGCTGAGCATGGAGCTGGTGTCAATGCTGGCTGGCAGCTAAATATGTAATTTCTTGGACAAGGTAGTGCAGAAATCGTAGATGGCTTATATGATGAACTTGGTGCAGGACCTGGTCTGGAATATTGCGGTGCCGGTTGGCTGTATGGCACAGAAGGTGCTGGGCCACCATAAGAGGACCGAGTAATGCGTACTGATTCTGCGATCGGAGCTGGAACAAGTATTCCTTGCGATGGTTCCAATCGAATGATTTGGGTTTTTACTAAGCCCATAATCAAAGAAAATATCAATACTTTCAACATTTTAGAAACGGAAAAAGCGTTTTACAATACAATACTAAATCAAGCTTCGACTTTTTCAAAGACATACTCCAAAAACAGAGCATGTACTTTTATATACAGATTCTTTTTCGCCGGCGTTTGCAAAACTAGTAGCTACATATGTATATTTTTTAAGTTATACATGTTTAAGCACATTAATACAAATTTATGTTGATGTACAAATATTTATGTACATACAAATATAAATAAATAAGAAGGGGTAAGTTTAGTTCGGTTGGAATAGAAACTTCGATACCCACCGGTTTTGGTTGTACGTGATGGACTTTACTAGAGTTTTTCATCGGAAATAATAAATTTATGTTATAGAAGGTCTGCGCGATCTATAAAATATAAATCTATTGACGCTTTATAACTGTTCAAACGAGTGTTCACTGACCAAAAGAACAGAAAATAAAAATATGCTCCAAAAAGTTTATAGCCCTTCGGTAAACTGTAGCGGTTATAATAATAAAAACGGCAATAATATATGTATATATGTATATACTACTTCATTTCATGTAGGGTATATGGATTTATACATATTTATTTATTCGGAAAACCAAAAAAAAATCGCATGCATCGTCAGAAATTAAGCAATGGTTTTAGGTTGCAACAACGGAAATTGGGAACAATTGCTTACAAATTAACAAAATATATTATTTTTTTCACTCGCAATATCACTGCTTACTTCTCGGCCAGTTAAACCCAATAATAATTTGGGTGTGGTTTTATGAAAAGTAATGTATTTAAGTACCGAATTATTTAGTGATTATTTGAGTAACCAATAAAAAAGTTTAAACATGGCAATAGAAATAAAGTCTAGAAATTTTAGAAAGAAAGTATAGTGTTGTTATTGTTGTAACCGCAAAATTATTCCCCAAAGTACTTTTTGGGGAATGTTGCGGGAGTGACAGTCCTTGGCCGGATAAAAATCCGGGTCGTTCCGGTATAAAGACACGACTGTCGCGGGAACTATTGGATTTTAGTCGCCAGACATGCCTTACCGCTGGTAAATTCTTGTGCCCAAACCTCACTAGTTAAATATTTCTCACCTAGAACCCACCAAATCTGGCAGAGACCATACTAAACTCGAGAATGGAAATGGCACTCTGCATTTGTTAACAACTCTCTGTATTTTTAAGCCAATTCCTTTCTACTGGGCTGTACTACAGGGAAGAGCTAGTGGAAAAAAACAAAATGCCGTGAAAGGCTAGATAAACTTAAAACTCTGAAGGTCAGCATCATCGTAGAACTCAAAGCAATACTACCTACAACGCCGTATGCGATTTTGAATGTACTTACGTACGTACAACTGACGAGCCCAATAGCTAAAAGTAAGGTTTTCATAGCTGCCGAGAGGCCACACGCCCCAAATACACTAAGAATTAATGACTATGGCTACGTTAGAGATATGCGAAGAGAGTGAAGGGCTTAAGCTTGCAGAAAAACTTTGTATTTATTTAGAGATGGTTCCACAATGAATGGGGAACTGAAGTTTACTACACCCAAAGAGAGGCAAGAAGGTTATTCGAGCTGTCAAGCTACTGCAGTATCTTCTAAACCGAAAAATTTGCAATCAAATTACGCCAAGCGGTCATGGCTTCTCTTATAAATCCATCAGCGTCTCGGAAACTCCTTAGAATAAACAGTAGATTTCTTGGAGAAACATCATGACGCACACCACAAATTGGAGCTGGATCTAGGCCTAAATTCGCTTCAGCACTATATTTATAGCTAATGATTTTTTTTCACTTAAACTAACTGTTTTTAAGTAAAGTAAAGCTTTGTTAATCAAAATTTATTTTTCCATTCTCAGACAAATCCTAGTTCTTCGTAAATTTAATATTTTGCTTAATATATAAATGTAAATTATTATCAAATTAATTCTTACTTTAAGTTTTTTACTATTAAAAATAAATAAATATTTAAGGTGGCTCGTTATTCTTCAATTTTGTGCCTCATTTGAAGTCGGCGCGCTTTTTCAATGATTGTTAAAATCTTTTTTGTAGACTCTGCACTCGTTTCGCTAGCTTCGGTAGGTGAAACTATTTTTAGATCACTTGTTGGATCTGTTTGTGGGGCCGCCAGTGAACTAGGTGTTGGAGAACTTTCCTTTTCGACATGCTGTGGAGTAGAGCTATCTTCTTGAGAGGACGCAACTATAACAGATGGTTCAACTATATCCGTGGGCATAGGTACAGTTGTGGACTGAACATTACTCCAATGCGCAGCTCCATTGTGCTCTAAGCCCTTTGTCTGAGCGAGGTTTAAGTTGTCCATAGAACTTGTAGACTCCATCGGCATAGACTGTGGTGCGTTAAGTAAAGTATTGGGATTTGAAATTCCTGTAATGGGTTCCGTGGGTCGGAATGCGTTAGGTGTGTTATGGAACACCGGCAGCATTTTGCGTGCCGATCCTAGTAAGCCTGCTGTCAAACGTGGCATCATATTAAAATTAGGAAATAAGCTACGTTGGAGGTTATTGATAAATGGTTGAATGGGTAGGCTAACCATTTCTGTGGGTTGTGGTAGATACGTACACATGTTATCACGTATAAAATTTTCATGAGACGGATTGGTGTTGGTCGTTGAAAACGGCCTATAATAAGGTGGCGATGCGCCAGTTGTGACTGCTGCTGGCATTGTATTATACGTGGGTAAAGCTATTATAATAGGCGGGAACGTGGCGTATGCCGGCACTGACGGTAAAGTGTTACAATAATTATGCGTTGGCGCTACCGAAACAGATATTGCTTCATTTTGAAAATTATTGCACTGGTTTTCCACTGTGCAGCTTCTCGGTATGTTCATATGTCCAGCATGATTTGGAGCTGGAGGTAATGCTTCAATATATCGGTGCACATTTGGAACGCCAAACAAATCTTCTCGATGTGTGCTAGTTACCATCGAGGGCTCACGTTGAATGCTATAAAATTGCTGCATAACCGGATCATCAGCATATGGTAATGCGTGAAGCTTTGACGTTGGAGATGGTGGTTGGGCATAAGTACTCTCTTGTGAACTTACTTCCGCGGTGGGCAATGTAAATGTATTTGCAAGAACATTTCGTCTGCTCAATTCAACAGTAGGTTCTTTGAGCTCCTGCACTTGGTTGTCGGCTATTAGCGCCATTGGAACAGCTGGCGTAGCTGTTGGTATAATAATTGGAGGCATATTTGTATTAAATGCTGGCTGGAAAGTTTGTTGCTGCGCAGTAGTGATTCTTGAATTGAATTCATTAGAATTATCAAAATTTGGAGCCACAAAGGGTGGCGCGTTTACACGCTGCAGATTCCTGTGCTGATTTCCGTTTATGGAGCCTTCATATAATGGCGGGAACGTGGTCGTTACAGCAGGCTCGTGCCCATTTAATTGCGGATGTTCATTGTTGACAGTGGGATTTACATAGGGTAAATTGTGTTTTGCACTATCTAAAGTACTCTGGTGTTGTTGGAAATTTTGCAAATAACGTGGAAATAGCGCTTGGCTCAGATGATTATTTTTAATTTGTTGAAAATCGGGCACGAACATCATATTCGGGTTGAAGTTGTTTTGAAAATTTCTCCTTGCAGCATTCATAAGTGGATGAGATTGCTCATATTCTGGCTGATTCGCGCCTTTGCACAGTAAATATGGTTCTTCTTGCTGACGGCTGGGTTTGATCTCAACACAAATCGTTGTCAACGAACGTCTTACTCGGCTTCCTTTAGAGTCGCGAAACGTGTGCGCCGCATGTACTGTTGCGCTGCTGTGCATTAAGAGAACGACCGTAATTAATTTAAAATATGCAAATAAGAGAGTTCCTTTCTTTGCACTCATTATAATCAAAATCTGAAACTAAAAGTTATATTTAATATTTTTTCACCGTTTTTTTACATATATAAAATATAATTACTTGTACAAGGTATATATTTTTTTTGTAAAATCGGTATCCACAATTTTTTATTTATATTTCTTTTTTTCAGAGCCAGTATAACACCTAACATAAGTAGGTTCCTTTCTATTTTTTCACAACTCCTTCCAAAGTCTTTCAAGCGTTCAAGTGAATCTAACAATTTTTCGAAACTAATAATTGTTTGCAAGTTATTTAAATTAAACCTTTATAAGGCCATAATATGTTCGAAAAAAATCCGCAATCAATACGTAATAAGATATCAAGTTTTAGCCGACGCAGTATTATAGAGAATTTGTATATTCGTACATTAACATGTACATATGTATGCATATTCCTTTATTGAAATTCTTTCGTAAGGAACGTATGAACAAATTCAATTTTTTAAAGAACATACATATACATATATGTACATATATACCCAGCAGGGTACCTTACTAGTTGCTAACTAGTATGTTACGAGTTAGTAACTAGTATTTTACTAGTTTTGCTTTTTACTCCAACTTGGTTTTTATGCAATTTCTCACATTGGGGACTGGTATTTTTGCTGTGTTCTACAAACTGCCAGCTTTATACTAGTTAAATACTAGTCTACCTCTTAAAATAAGTTTTTTTTTTGCTGAATACACGAAAGACACCGCACTAAGCGTAGCGTAGAAAGTGGAAGTTTTGACCGGACATTGTTTGATGGGAGTTCACGTGATGAGGTTTGGAATTTTCCCTGATTCTCAGCGTTGTAGTTGTCAACAAGGAGAAGGAATCACCTATTTATTTACTTATGAACTGTTTTACGAGGTCTATTGGATCGACAGCTTTCTGATATCGAACCCTCCATGAGCAGCACGTCCGTTGAGTTTCTTGTATTATACTTGAATCATCAGACAAACTAATCCAGTCACAACTTATTTCTGAAGCTGGTGTCATGGAGCTTGTTTTTCAGTTGCTTATACTAAAGATAAAAACCTAGCCTTGAAATTATGAAGACGGGTTTATATTTCGTGCCATGGGTAGCACTCAAAGCTCTTCTAAACATCTCTTAACAGGTGGATTTAGTTAAATTTTTATTCTTTTTCAACTGGGACGTATGCTCATGCCAAAGATTGTAGTTCGACTTATACACCTGCTGGATCCAAATACCACACAAGCCCTTCTCACACTTCAAAGGAAGGAGGTAGAGGAGTGGAAAATGGTATTTTAAAAATTAAATCATACAAAATTGTTTCGCTATTTCTTTGAAAAAATGCAATTTTATCTTTTCATTTAACGTCTTGAAAGGTTTCAGTTTCAAGCAAGACCCTTGAAAAGTTGTTTATGCGGGATCAGTGAGACTTAGAATATTTTTCTAAAATGTCCTACGTACAATTTTAACATATTTTTTTTTTCATTTGAAAACAACCTATGTGAAAGTAGGTCGCGGTAGCCGAGTGGTTAGCATTGCGTACTAACATTCGGAAGGCTCGGGTTCAAATCCAGACATGAAATAAAAGCTCCTCGTAAAAAAAACCATCAGCCGTTCGGAGGCGGCTTAGTATAAACTGTAGGTCCCTCCATTAGTTGGAAAAACATCAAGACGCAAAACCACAAATTGGAGGAGGAGCTCGATCAAAAATCGCTTCAGCGGCTACAAAGCGCCAGTTATATAAGAAAGTAAACATTTTTTGCTGAAAAGATTATACACTAAATGCAAAAACAGCACGACTTGAAATTAAAAAAAAAATTGTTATTTTTCTTAATCCAATCCACAGAGCTTCACTTAGCTCATCACTATCATGTTTAATTTTAATTGTACTACTTTTTTCGTCTCACTCTCAATTGTGTCGATCGATTTGCTTCCGCAGTATCAACTGAAAAGTAGTGTTTTTGAACCCAACCGTACTTCATGCACAGGGAATATTCGCTTTGTTCAACTAATGATTATACATATGGATAAAGAAGGGGAAGAGTTGATTTAACCATGAAGTGTATCCGTTCGTGTGTGGAAAGGTCTCGTGGCAATTTGATTTGGCCACATTCCGCCATTTCAAAATGTGTAACCCTTTTTGCCGTAATAGCCGAGTGGTTAGCATTGCGAACTATCATTCGTAAGGGACGACCATCCCCGGTCGTTAGGGAATGTCAAGCCCTCTAACATGAAAACCAAAGCCCTTGCCAAACCCCATCGCCCGTTCGGAGGCGGCTGGGTACCTCCATTTGTTGGAAAAAAAACATCAAGATGTACACCACGAACTCGAGTAGGAGCTTGGCCGAAATCGAGGACATCTGCATGCAGTGCTTGTAAATTTTACAATCCACACGACGAGAGTCTCATCAAAGCAGCTTTCGGTACTACCTTGAGTTCGTAACCTACTTAACCTACTCTGGTATGCACTGAGGCACTCACCCCAACAATAATAATTAATACTTCATAAACAATTCTTTTATTTACCTAATCAGCAAAAAATTGCTTTCTAGAAATGCATTGCACTCAAAAGTTGCAGTTGCTGAAAAAGCGCTACCAATAAAAATCAATCGGAATCATTGCTTACAGTTTTGGCAATTTGAAAGAGGTTGAATGCGGTTGCTACAATTTAACTCGCCTTATACTATTTTAACAATATGATTATTCAATGGCAAGTCTTGCTTGCTATCTGGAGTTTAATATTAATTAAAGTCTCATTGGCGGAACATGCATTAAGGGACTCTCGTGAGTTATGGGAGCCCAATCACAGTACCTCTTACATAGAAGCAGATGCCGATTCAAATAGCATAAGTCCAAGTGAAGAAAAGAGACGGTTTCAGCGCTCATTTTTAAAGAAATTCTGGAAGAACAGCGGTTTGCAAGATCTTTTCGGTGACGAAGGATGCGTTAGCTGCTGTAAAAATGAAGACTATCAAGCTGGCGAGGGCGATACTTATCAGACACCACCTGCCGCAGCTAACATGCCTTACTTACCGTTGACACCACCATTAGCACCATTGCCACGATTTGATCCGCTACGTCTTTTCCAACCATTTTTTAGACCCGTCAATGGTAATGAACAGAATAATAATGGCTATTCAAACAACTATGATAGTAGTGGCACAAATTCCAATGTAAATGATGGTGTAAAACCTAATTGTTATGAAAGTGGAAACAGCAATAACGATGCCAATCCCAATAAGAATCTTAATGACGGTAAAACTGATGTTACTTATGAAAAGCCAAATGTGGACTACAGTGAGGATGGATACGTTAAACCAGAGTTAGGCCCGAAAAGTCATCTAGCCACTGTCGTATATCAGCCAATTATTTATGTTTCGCCGCAATATACACCAGCTCCTACAAATAATGGCCGTGGGGATGCTTCAACGTATCCTGGTGAATCACCATATAATTCACAACCATCACCATCAGCTGCAATAACAACACAGCCTTGCAGGTGCTACGGAGAATCTGACATTAACCCAACGAACGGAGTTCATCCGCCCAAAATGCCAAATCCCATCATTTTGACTGCAGCAGATCAGCCATATCGCAATTGTCCTGAACTTTTTACCGAATATTGCAACAAGATAAATTATTTATACTAACAGAAAGATAGAGAAAAAAATGCATTCTCGACTTTTTTTAATTTTCTATAATAAACAAATGTACAAAACACAAATTTCAATGAATTTATTAGCAGCTTTACAGTTTCAACTGGTGTAATTAGTTTCTACGTCCGAGGCTCATCTATTGGGAGAGCACAAACTGTAAAGTTTTTTACAGTGGCGAATTAACCTTAAGTTACCATCGAGTCTGAGTTACGCCAACACTGTAAAACAGCGCCCTATCAAGATCCATCGAGCGATTTTTCGTGCCTGGAAGTGGTGACTACTCCTCTGAATTTCGTTCTAGGACTTGATGTCACGATGGCAGCAACGTGCAGTTTGAAATTTTCCCACAGCGGTTTGTCTAAGGACGACGGTAATTCGATTAACTTACGAGTACTATTTTCAACCTTTATAGAATCGTGGCGTCAGTAGCTTAGTGGGAAGATTTGTCTTGTCTCCGTCTCCTTTTGCCAGGTTTATTACGTTCTTTCACTGTACAAGTCATTTCTTGTCATGGTCCTAAGGACGGAGTTCTGGCGTGCTGGTAGTTCCTTCATCTGCGTCTCCCTAGTCCCAGCGTCCAAATCCAATTTTACGACCGGCCGGCCAATCGCCTTATATGTTGCGATCAGCATTTCTCCGCCTTTCGCCCAATATCTAATATTACGGTCCAAGTTTATACCGGAACGACACGGATTTTAATCCGGTTAAGCACTGTCCCTCCCGTCATATATTTCCCGAAAGCCAATTCAGGGGAATATTTTCCGGCTACAAAAACAACCGATTATATACTGCTTATACAAATATATATATATATAGTATAGGGTTATGGTATGCCAATTGAAACATCAGGAGTACACGCCACAGATATCGAATAAAAAGACTGTCGTTGCTAAACTAATATTAAGGTGCTCCCCTACAATCATTTTTAAAATTCTGAAAACACGTACTATTTATCCAACCACTTTATTTCGATTTTCTCAATAGTAGTTTTTATAAAAGGTAGGCTAATAGCATGCAATCGAGAATTAATTTTGCAAAATAAATTCATACAAAAGTTGAAAAGCATTTATGCTAAAGATATTACTTATGTATATATATTGAGACAACACACATTTTTAAGTAGTAAAACAGAAAAATTATTCCAATTGACTTAAAATTTTCGTCATTTACTTGTTATTTATTAATTTTTATATATTCATGGAAAATTATTGCTGAAATTCAGCACTGATTGATGTGTCTGTTGTCGATCATCTAGCAACATCATAACACAAAGCTATTAACGTAATACGATAATAGGAAAAAAGATGGTGAGGGTGGAGTCACCACCCTATTTTATGGCAAACAAAATTAAGAAAATAATATTCTTCGATATTGATGAATGTTAATAAATTAACACGTTATATAATATATTATTAAGAGGTTTTGCTTTTGTAACAATTCAGAATGAGATTAGATATCTTTTTTATTCTATTTTGAGATAATTTGGCTCTACACCTGAAGTGATGGAATTTTCATTTACAATTTTCTGAAACACATCGTTCCTTGATTATGCGCATACGAGTTAAAAAAACGTTTATGTATGAATTTTCTGATTTGTTTACTTTGACTTTATTTTTTCGTATGAAATTATTCCAAAATATATTTTATAGAAGATATTGTTACTGCTTTAATGATTTTATTATAATTATAATATTTTTATTTTTATTATTATAGAATATTTCTAGTACCCGCAAGTAATCAGATAATCTCCAAGCTTCTCTACAACCGATGCGGCTTGTTGAGGTTGAACAGGATCCTCGTAGATGGAAACGATCACGGCTGAAAGTTAAATAAAATAAGAAAAGGTAAGTATAGGTAATTTATTTTGACATTTGTTTTCAGATCATCTATTTGATTATGAAACATAAAAATTTCTTTTCTTTAATTTGCGTAAGTACCGCATATGCGATTATAGCTTAAAAGAAAAAAAAATCTAACTCAATGAATATACAGGACATTCTAAGATTTATTTCTGAATCGTTTTTATAAAGCCAATGAAATAAAACTTCTTCGGTATGCTCAATTGTAGCGAAAAACTCAGGTATAGCGATGATTCGTATATTTATGTTAAAATAAGTATAATTTTTGAGTTACGAAAAACTAAATTTTGAAAATCATCAGATCTCTGGTTTTGTTTTATTCTATAAAATGAGTATTATCAAAAATCATACCACTGGTTCTACATAAGAACTATAATTTCTGATTTGAGCCATATTGTTATCTTCCTTACCTTGTGTAGTTTTCATGCAATGTACTCCGCTGCGGCCCAACTTAGCGCGTACCACACGATCTGTACCAGAAAGATAAATATACCTTTGGCCGGCTAATGTGACACCATTGCTTGTAAGCAGGTCTTGTTGATCAAATCCTGCTATTAACTTCGCCAACTCTTCTTTTGTAACCTGAAAATTACAAAATAAAAAGAAAAAATTCAAATATCCATATTTTAATTGCTGACTTTTTTAAAACTAAAAGTTTGTATAATTTAATTTTTTTAATATAAAAAATATGAAAATATCCTCAACTAACAAATTTTGTTATGGTTATGAGTTTACATCTGAAATAGGGCGAGGTCACAGCCAATGGAAAATTTTTGTTTCCACTTCAAGTGCATAATTGGTTGAATTATTGGTTGTTCATACTGACTAAAGCATTTTGCAAAAAGAACGAAAAAATCCACCCACCTAAAGACGTATTTAAGACATTTTCAAAACTTGTTTCTTTGTATTACCGTTGGAAAAGCTTTCTTATATAGTAAAATGATTTTGATTATCAATTACCTTCATGTTTCTAATATTACCGTTTCTAGTATAACGTTAACAACAACGACAATTCTAATAAAAGGAAAAAATTTGGTTTTAGTTGTTGATACAAGGATCTTATTTAAATTAATTATATTTAAAAGTTGATAATGAGGGACTTCTTCGTCGTTACCACCTCATTCTTGTGTTTGTATATATGTACGTATATATGTATAGCTTGTATATGCGTATATAATATAATGATAATACAACCGGCACACACAAAATCTATTTAATCATAATCTGCTAGGTTAAAAGTATGCGTAACATACTACATATGTACATAAATACAAGAAATTAATCAGAAAATAATTGTATTCCAACAGCCGATACAAAGAAAGTCAAAGAGAGATAAACATTCCAATTTATTTTTGTATGGTATGCGATAACGAGAAAAGTTGCGGTTACTGAGTTAATTTTTTGCACTTAAAGCAACAATGCTTTGAGAGAGTTGCTCTTATCAAGGAACTGCACGAATTGAGGGTTGCGGTTACCGAGTGCACAATATGCTGTGCCCTTTCTGAAAAATCCGATGTGTCTTAAAACTGTGCATTTTATTTTATGCAAAATTCTACAATATTTTTAAAAAAATTTTCATTTAGGGCTGAAACTTAATATGTAGCACGAACATTTTTAATTTCATTGACACGTACATCAGACACATACATATACATACACATGGTATACATTCTCCAATTCAATTTCTTTCATCCAATGTAATTCTAGCAATAATTTATAATCTCAAAATTTCGACTTGAAAAATCAGTAGAATGGTCGCGATTAAATATTATACAGATTATATGACTAAGCGGCAATTGATAGCATTGAGAATCGCTTTTTTTCAATCGTATATCTACTAGCAGTAGACATTCGCAATAACCTTTACCTCAAAAAACCAAAGCTTCAGGCTTCAAGGTTTTTAACATCTTAATGAACGTGTGTGTGTTAGGAGAGTACAAATAAAAATGTCAACCGTTAAATGTATACAGGAGTACACTATAGCATATACTCACTATGTACTGCCGTTCCGAGCGTTGGGTGCAATGCAATACTTTTTTAAAAAAATGTCTAGAAACACACCGGTGCAAAAAATTGATAAGATATTTGTACTCACAAAGGCAAGAACCACGAAGTATTCAAAACCATCTGTTATGCCGCAAATATATATAACATATCTAAGCTAATGTACATACGAGTATATCATATGTATGAGCTTTTGAGTAGTTATGATTAATACAAATGTACATACATATGTACTTCTTTATAAACAACTAAGAACGGCAACGATGTATAATTATTTATATTTTAACATAGAAGGAATTAATCACAGCGCTAACAAAGTAGTTTGCATAGTTGAGAGCAAAAATTATACAAATCGAATATTGCTGAATCCATTCGTAAAATATATTTACATAAGTACGTATTCTTAATTACCTATATACATACGTACATAGTATGTATAAATTTTGGCATCACTCATTACATAAATTTTAATTTATAAACGATTTTTTTTTCAATTGCCTACACATATTTTTCATCGAGATGATTTAAATTCTAAAATAACTTTTGTTCTGGTAATATATGTAGTTGACATTAGGACGCGACTACATACATGCACATATACATATATGCATGTGTACATACATGGAGAAATGTATGTATAAGGAGCAAAAATAAACTCAACAAGGGTGTTTTATCCGACAAACTGTTACTCAGATACCAACGAATGCTTTTGTGTGTATCTCAATGAATTGATTTTCGTATCTATATTTTAACACCCTGTTCTCGGACTAGCAGCATGCATATTTATCTTTGGTCACACCCTTCACGTCGCAACACTTTTATGCATTTTGTTTGATTTAATACTTATTTAATATAACCACATGAAGACAAATACCTCGAATCCTTTAGATTGGGCCCAGATGTTGCCATCATGTCCGGCTATGCAAGCCTTTGTAACACAGTGCGAGGCCAAAAGTTGGTTATCCACATAATCTTGCCAGCTCATTTTCGTATATTTATTATGGACTGTAGTTGTGTCTGCTGATTTTTAAAGATGGATTGCGTCAAGTTACAACGGATATCAACTCAATATATATATGTATATATCAGTTCTGCTTGCAGAAGTCAATTGAGTCTTCTATTCCGGCGTTAATGCTCTTTAATGGAGATTTAACAAATTCTTTGCCTGCAAATTAAAAAGAAAAATTTAATTATAAAAATGTGCTGAAAGTCCATAAATGGACAAAATATATCATATATGTAGATGCTTATAATGGTGCGATGATATATTCACATTTTATGAATCACGTATACTCTACTCTCTCTCATTCTCATTCTTTGGCATAACTTTTGCAATGTAACAAATCTTATAAAAAAAAAAAAAATTTTGATTCCTTAAAGATATTAGGGCGTTACTTACAGAATTATCTTAATAAAGTAAATTTCTTAGAGAACGTGCCCTGCAAAGAACCGTCTACGCTTTCCTAAATTCCAGCCTTTTCAGGCTCTTAACTAAATGCAACACTCCAACGCGTTAAAACCAACAAAAGACAATGAAAAAGTTGGAACATTTTCCATCGCCATCGTTGTACAGCCGAGAACCAACGACCGATGTGTCGTCGTCATCGTTTCACTCGACTCAATTGATTCCACGAATGGAAATGAGTGAGCGGAAATAAGCATTACTGGTGAGTCAGCACAGCGCTGCTTCTTGTTACAAACCTCTATTAGTCGGCGAGTATTTTTAGTTTGGAGAAATTAAATTTATCCATATTTTAACAAAGATGAATTTGCTACCTCAAATTGCATAAATATAACTATGATTTCCTTTCCATAACTATTGCTTCATTTATAATTAATGTTCATATATTACACTCCACAGTTTCACTTGATATTCTATTATTTCTCAATGCCGATTTTCAAAAGTAATCCATATTAAACCGGTCACAAATTGATTTTTCATTCGCAAAATTATCTTTGAAGTTGTATAAAAAAAGCACTGAGATATTATTTATTCTTCCAATTATATACTAACTGATAAACAAAAAAAAACACAAATTTCAAACTTACTTAAATACAGTCCAACTAGCTCAATTGCTGAAGATTTCTACCAGGAATAATTTCTACTCACTGCAGGTCTTCGTTTTTATTTTGACGTCGGCATTGTCCATTCGACATCAAAGTTGCAATTTCGATCTTACAAGAAGGTTACACGCACAATGGTGTCTGGATGTGTCTTATTGAATTGACAAATAGAAAGCTACAACCTGCGATTGTATGAAAAATTTTGCGCCGGTTTTTGGACTGTCTTCTCTGAATTAATTAATATGAGCCCTTCCGACACCAGGGACGCATCTTGCCAAGTCCGATTTAACAATTTTCAAATAGAAGTGGAAGATTTAGGATAAAGTTTTTACCATCAAAAATAGGTCGACGTTGAAGATCACTACCTCAGAAAACATAGCGATTCAAGAAATACCATGTCACCTAAAGCAGCATTCCTATTTTAGCAGCAAACATGCTAATATTTCGCAGATTCCGGTTCTTTGGCAGAAACGTCCACATAAGTTATAAAGTGCGTTGCCAAAAAAGGTAAGAGAGAGATTTCAAGATAATTTTAAATTGAAGTGGACGAAAGCTGTAAAATCAAAATTTACCAATAGTAAGCAAGGTTCCCTTATAAATCAAGTACCGAGGATAATAAATAAATAAAACAACAAAAAGAAACTCCAAGAAAACGTCAAAGCACGATATCGAATTTTGCAGTAATAGATTTTCTCGAGAAGCAATGTGGAATATATGAAATACAGATATTATTTTAATTAATATTTCCAATTCAGGTTAGTTTTCATACAATGAATTTATGTCTTACATAATTATTAGAAAAAAAATGCATAATATTTTAGGCAATTTTTGATACTTTCGGTTACTAATGTAAAACTACTTCTAATCTCAAAAACAGCTTCTTCTCAGTTATGATCAGTGTACAGGGATAATTAGGGTCTTCAATGACTTGATTGCCAAATTGCCGCTAAATATTATGAATCATGTAATTGTACCAGAGGATCTGATGGTAATAGATGTTCTTATTTCGTTGAGTTGCGTCAGTTGTACCAACTTTACTTAATGAAAACTGAACGAATCTTTCGATTTGCAAATGACTCAGAACTCGGCAAGATGGAGCCTTTCGCTTGGTTTTTACGAAGCACATTCAGCACGTGTGTAAAAAGTGCCAAACTAATTTCAGAAAATGTTAGTATAAAACTGAGAAATAATTATAGAAAATTTGTGATTTGTGCGGGTTTAATTTTTATTAATATGGGCGCACGAATATCGGCGCTTTTTGTGTTCAGAAACAGATTTTATATCAAATATAAAATTGTAAAAATTGTTTGACGTGTTAGTGTTTGCGTACTGTGTATGTAGGAAGAGTAAAATAGGGAAAATCAAATTCAATGGAAGAAGAAGAAAGATTTCATAGGCAATTGCTGATAGTATTAGTAAATAGGTGTCGTCCGCCTTTTAGATCATTGTTTCCATCCATAATGTGGAGTAATAATAGTACTCATTAGATTTATTGTTACATAGACCTTCATATTCAGATTTTTTTTTATATTTTTTCAATGATAAATTGATCTTTAATATAAGTTTGTATAGCGTAATTAATATCAATATTTAAATTCAAAATAAGATGATTAGATTTATAGAAAGTATCGGAATAGAAAATTATATCAAAAATTGCTTTTATATATTTTAACTATGCGCATTTCCTCCCCGTTTAACTTCTAACCTAAGCAGGTATGTATTTTTTCATGTCTGCAACTCTGTGTTAGAACAGCACACCCAATAAGAATGTTAAAGCCTTTGTGCAAAATGACTGGATTTCAGTATACATAAGTTAAAGAAAAAAAAGCAAGATGGCAGATAATTGTTGAGTGCATATGGAGAAATTGTTGTTACATTTTACTAGCGCAGGGCATACAAAACATTAGCAACTAGGATTGGGTTCGAACAATTCAACAATTTTTCCTGAGGCTAGTTTGAACACAAGCAAATGATACACAAAAATTGCATTATTTGAAATTTTGTACATGAAAACTATATATTTATTTTTTTATACAAACAATTTTGATAATTTTTTTTCTTTTATGTAGGGATGATCGAAGTGATATAGCTCATGAAGGACCTAGTGGTATGGATCCTGAGGGTGTCATCGAGTCGACTTGGCATGAAGTGTACGACAATTTCGATGACATGAACTTGCGCGAGGAATTATTGCGTGGAATTTATGGTTATGGTTTTGAGAAACCCTCTGCTATTCAACAACGTGCTATAATTCCTTGTGTTAAAGGTCGTGACGTTATTGCTCAGGCTCAGTCAGGTATGTTTCATTTTTGATCTCAATATATTTATGAACTATTTTACATATGTTTAAACTAAATAAACTAACAGAGCTTAAAATTGACGAAAAATATACTTAGATATTTGTTGATTATAATGCGGAAAATTCTGCAACTTAAAAAAAGAAAACTCCCGAATTAAAGTGTTAATTTAACTACCCATTTTATCTTCACTGTTTTTCAACAATTTTATTTTAAAATAAAATTATTTTCTACTCATATACGAACTGAAAAAAAGAACAGATTGCTTCAAATCAAAAAGAGGTTGTCGCCCTAAAACATGTGTTTTCATCCCTAAAAACTGTTTAAACGAAAACACATTGAAAACCAGTTCTTTTGAAACACAACTAAAAGATACGGGATAACTCAGGCTTACATGTATACATGTCCAAATAAGATGTGTTAGTGAAAATGTTAATAGATCACAGCAGCTCAAGTTAGAGCATAATAGAGCAGCTGCTAAAAAAATATTTCTTTTTGTAAGATATTTTTTTTCTAAGCCCGAAGAATACTCCTTATTAAATGTGGTCTGAGACAGTTCCATACAACTTAAAATATCAAAAACAATTCAACAAAACAATGACCTGAAAGAGCATTCCTTATAATTTTGCTTTTTTTCTAATCATATATTTTTCCATTTTTAGAATTCTTTCAATATTCTATTAATAATAAAGGTTGATAATAGCCTGTTAATAATTGTGAATTTATTTTAGTTCACCAAAAAAGCTTATATGAAATTGGACTCTAAGTTGCCTACTACTATATGCAAACTCATCAAACATACAATAGAGTAAAATATCAAAAAGAAATCGTCATGAAACACTATTATGTGACGTAGGGTGACCTTGAGTAACCTAGAGCAGCTAATTAAACACGCCTACATTTATTTCGTAACCACTTAATTATTGTTTGATATTTGTTTTATTAGGCGTAAGAATGGAATGGTACAAATGTTCGGGTGTGATCATACATTGTTTTTTGCTTTCTATTTATCATAATTTTTTTTTTTTTTTTTTTAATAATTTTTGCAGTATTAATGTCTCATAGAATTTTTATTGGGAAACTGCTCCTTGAATAGTTCTGTGAGATTTCTACAGTTTCTGTATCTTGATCAACTGCTTTTTTTATATCGTTTATTGCGATACATGTGTCTTATATTTTTAAGTGGAAGTGGAAAAGTACGGTTTCAATCGAACTTACTCTTCCTTGTTCTGTATTCTTTTTTTTTTTATTATTAATGTATAAAATGTTTTGTCTTTTAAGGTACGGGAAAAACCGCTACTTTCTCAATTGCTATTTTGCAACAAATCGATACGTCCATTCGCGACTGCCAAGCATTGATTTTGGCCCCTACCAGAGAGTTGGCAACTCAAATCCAACGTGTCGTGATGGCTCTTGGTGAATATATGAAGGTGCATTCACACGCTTGCATTGGTGGTACCAACGTTCGCGAAGATGCCCGTAACTTGGAGTCTGGATGTCATGTTGTTGTTGGTACTCCAGGTCGCGTTTACGATATGATTAATCGCAAAGTGCTTCGTACACACAATATCAAGTTGTTCGTTTTGGATGAAGCTGATGAGATGTTGTCCCGTGGTTTCAAAGATCAAATCCAAGATGTTTTTAAAATGCTTCCTCCGGACGTACAAGTTATCTTATTATCTGCCACAATGCCACCAGATGTTCTGGAAGTCAGTCGTTGTTTTATGCGTGATCCAGTTAGCATTTTAGTGAAGAAAGAAGAGTTAACCTTGGAAGGTATAAAGCAATTTTACGTCAACGTAAAACAAGAAAATTGGAAGCTGGGTACTCTGTGCGATTTATATGACACGCTTTCCATTACTCAGTCTGTTATTTTCTGTAATACAAGGCGTAAGGTAAATAATTGAAAAAAAAAATCATATCTGGTTTCAATATGTTACAAAATTTGTGCGTTTCTCAATTGTAGGTAGACCAGCTGACTCAAGAAATGACAAATCATAATTTCACTGTTTCTGCCATGCATGGTGATATGGAACAGCGTGACCGTGAGGTTATTATGAAGCAATTCCGATCGGGCTCTTCGCGTGTTTTAATTACAACTGATTTACTTGCTCGCGGTATTGATGTACAGCAAGTCTCGCTTGTCATTAACTACGACTTACCTTCGAATAGAGAAAATTACATTCATAGGTAAAAAAAGAAACGATCATAAAAAAATTCTTTCATATTTTTTGGTTATACAAAAACTAAATTCTTATGTATTATCATTATAGAATCGGTCGTGGTGGACGTTTTGGTCGCAAAGGTGTTGCAATTAATTTTATAACGGACGAGGATAGAAGAATTCTTAAAGATATTGAACAATTCTACCATACAACCATTGAGGAAATGCCTGCTAACATCGCCGATTTGATTTAAACCTTCAAAAGTCGGAAGCTATAATAAACAGCAGTGAAAGCAGCAAGTAAAATCATCCATAAATAAGTAACAGCAAATTCCGTAATCAGATTATAAAAACATAGGATTGGATGCAGATGTATCTAATTTTGCTAAATAAAAAGTATATATATTATACAATGAACAACAAATGCAAGAACTACTACATAAAATAAAAGATATTGTTTTAGCTTTTTTTCTAGAGTATTTATATAAATGCAATAAAAAACAAAAGGCAACAACTATACCAATTATAAATTATAATAAACTAACTAGGCCTCAGCTCTATCAAAACCAGGGCAGGAAGTAACGCAGCGTTGTGTATTAATTTTAGCAATTTCACTCAAGGATAATTAGGTTATTGTGACACTTGCTAGAGTGCCATTTAAAGGAATGCAAATTATTTCACATTTATAGTCGAAGAATGACGTCCCGCCTTCTTGCGAGTCGAACTTAACTAAAATTAGAGGTTTTTCCTTTGTGAGTAAGCAAATCGCACCATAAATGGAACATCTAATAGATAATTTTCGTTCCCATTTCTGCGGAGGAAAAATGAATTCGTAAGATAATCAAGGTAATGAGCCTCCTACGTATAAAATTTTCTTCGACTCGAACCTAAAAGTGCTTTCTATTGTCATAACAAGAATTTCCTCCTAAGTTCAAAAGTTCAGGCTGTTATTTTTCGAAGAATTCTTCTGGGAATCCGAAGTCTTTGAATTACTCTTCGCGTTTCGATTTTGTATTATTCTAACAATCTTCAAAAAATGTTTTGATCTTTGGATTTCGTAAGATAGTATGGCATGTAAAATGGAAGTGGAAAATACTTTCCTAAGCCGTAAATTTGGGCTAGTAATGAAATTCACAATAATTTTTTCTTAATTACATACCTATTTAAGATGATCGCACGAACAGAAAAACAAAAGAGTTGACCAAAATATATTGCAAGGAAAAGCGAATCGGTTATCATGTGTACCGAAAAAGCGAAAATATTTTATTATAAATATATGTATATTTAATTATATTTTTGGTTTCAGTTGTCTATGTTAAACTTCTAAATAAACCCTTTACATTAAATAGGATTATAGAAACAATAAAAATTATATAATACGGTGATTTTCGTTAGAAAGTTTAAGTCAAAAAGTAATACAGTTTTATTTACGGGAAAACGTATAAAGTTACGAAATCTTTTGACAATAATAATTATCAAATTTAAATACTTAATAATTTTTATAGGAGGTATTACAATTGCTAATAGTTTACAGCTTTCTCCTGCTCTTTGCCCCAAATGGTAATTTACGTCCTAAGTCCACGCTGATGACGTTTAATTCGTGCATATGGTCCAACAGCAGGATCAGTGATGAAGTCGTAAAGTACTCGCGACCAGCTGGTATGTTGTGGCATTGTCTCATAAAATTCCGGAGCAATGCGTTTCACTTCAGGCAATCTTGATCCTGGAACAGCAGGGAAATCATGATGTTCATTATGATAACCCACATTAAATGTTATCCAGTTCAGTGGTCCATAGTATGAGTAGGTTTCGAAACCTTTAGCGAACATGTAATGTTCCGAAATGAAATGCCCGGCTACCGGATGTAAGCCCATTGCTAATATAGAACCAATCACCAAATACGCTAGCGCTTTCCATCCAAAGAAGTACACAACTAATGCATTGAATGTAAGCTGTATAACAGTGTTAACTATTTCCAATGTTGTGGGCGGTTTCGGATTTATTATGAGAGGTCGAAAAATATAGAAGAAAGGCTGCAAGCATACCCACACAAACTTCCCAAAGGTTGTATCGAAAAGTTTAGCTTCTAATAAAGTAGGAATATCGGTGTCCACAGCCTCGTCTCCTTGGTACCTGCAAATAGAAGTATTAAATATATTCAAACAAGTGGGAAAACGCTACGGTCGTATGATACCGAATTATTATATATACATATGTATACGACGGTTTCAGTTGCATACATATATGTATATGTACATTAATTTAAGACTTAATTGGGCATACGCAATTAAGCATTGAATAATTCACACAGTGGATGGGCTACATTTTGGCCAATGGTCCAAGTAAATGATATAAATACTAGAGTTTAAAATTAACTTACCTGTGGTGCTCCAAATGGTATTTTCGAAATGATATCGACATAGGTAAACCAATTGGAAGGTTGCAGATAAAGCCCAAAATGCGATTATGCATTGGGCGACTATGTCCAAAAGCCAAATTGTGCGATATTTCATGCACGGCCAACATAAGCGAATGGTTCAATATACCACCAAAACAGTAGGCAGCTAACACCAACAGCGGCCAAGAAAAGTCCTTTACGATGAATAGCGCAAATATTTGCAGCAAGACCATGCTACCGGCAACCCATTTGAATTTTGGATCACACCCGAAAAGCTTTTTAATTTGCGGATATTTTTCCAATATAACTTTACGTCTGGATGCATGGGGCTCCTCCGTGTATACCCATTCGAAATCTGTACGAGAGACTTTTTGACCCATTCTAATTAAGACGAGATGCGCACCACATATGTAGATATCAAAATTTACTATCACGGCAATGATAATAATGGACGTGCATATTTCAATTATGATTCATTTTTCAAGTCAATCAACAGTATTACAGGCACGACGGTAGGAACGTATCAGCTGATTTAATCAAACTTATATGGGGTACACAATATTCATCAAACCAGTAGTTTTAGTCAATTTCTTTGTATCGAAAATTGACAGTTCAGTGTAGTTTTACAGTGCATTAAGAGAAGTTATATATTATATTTATAATAATAATTCAGAGGTAAGGTATTCAGCTGTTTTAATTTTTTGTTTAATTGGGAAAAACTGTGAGAGAACGTCAGTGACTTTCAGGGCGGTTGAAGAGTGTAAAAATATTTAAATCTGAAAATGTGGTTATAACTTACAAGAAAATTGAAGTTAGTCATAACACAAGCCAGCTGGAGTAATCAAACAACCAGAACATTGACTTTTAAGCCGATACCAAATGGAACTATCACGCTGAGTTTGGCGTTGGCTCATAAGCTACCAACTTTATCGATTGCTGTTTCGGGTTCGTCATTGCCTGATATTGAAATCGTCTGAAAGTCTCCGGGTTTTTTCAAACACTGTTGACTTCCCTACAAGAACGGGCTGATGGGTTCACCAATACATTCAAACGATTTCAGGTAGCACAAACATATGAACAAATTTTTTTGTTTATCTTTCTCTTCTGAGTACATACAAATTGAAGAAGAATGCTGTTGAACGGATTATGCGAATGCTTTGTTCTTATTTTCGAGTAGAACGCCATTTTTTACCGTTTTCTCCGCAGTAGATAGAAGTGAAAAATACATCATCAGGATCCTGTACAAGCTATGGTAATAATAGCAATTTTGGACTAATTAAGTATTTCATTTTTCATTACTTTTTACATTTGTTTATTTAAGGGCACTCCATGTCGCACGGAGAGATCAGCTAATGGAGCAGTTTGACTGTAATGTGCGCTGCTCATCTTATTGAAGTAGCAGCACATCTCAAAAATATACAACAAAACTTTACGAGGTGTATAGAAGAAGAAAACAGTTGTACAATCAACTTCCCTTATCTGAATTCGCCTTGGTTCGGCGCGAGACGAATTCATAAATTTGAGAGTAAAAGAGCAAATACAACAATAACCGCGTATTTTGTTTTTGACCAAAATTAACTGTTTTTTAAAAAGCAAATGGAAAATTAAATGAAATGAAAGTAAACAAAACAAGAACTGAATAAAAGTTTTGACAATCACCACTTTCAAAAATGAAAAAAAAAAAATGAAATTCGCTGCTGTAGTAATTTCATCTTATCTGAACAAAGGCGAAGATTCTGTGTCTTCAAAATATTCTAAATTTACAATTTCACTTTCTTTCTATTGATTTTCAAATTTGTGTCTATATCACAAATTGCTTTCTTATTGTTAAGAAAAAATTACTCTTTTAGAAATAATTTCAAAAATAGAAATTTACTTTTCAAAATCAATTCTAATAGATAGTGTGTTAATTTATTTAAAAAACGTTGTTCCAACTGAAAAAATAATCCTAAATTGAACACTATTTAAAAATGTTCGACTTAATTACAACAACTTAAGAACAGAACTTATATATGTATGTACATACATATGTAGGCATGTAGAGCTATAGTTATAGTTGTAGAGGTTCCATTGAAGATATGAAAAATAAATTAATTTATGTTTTCTTGTGAACAAAAATAAATAATAAAAAGTAATTTCTTGTTGATTTATTTATCGTATAGAATTACATGAAATCATTATTATACTATGTATTATATGTATATAGTTGTTGTTGTTGTTTTTTTTTTGCAGACGTTTGGTATAAGTGTATAAACTATTTTTAAAATATGTGTGAAAATAATTAAGCAACAAACGGTTTTTCAATATACATATGAAGTATTTTAAATAATATTACGACGGAAGAAATCCATTTTGTATGCAATTTGTGGACGAAAATCTATTGAACCAATAGAAAAACCGAGTGATTTGTGAATGAAAAAAATTCTTACATTACAACGGAAACAGAAAATGAAGCCCATAACAAAATATAACGGTGTTCAAGGTAATAAGGGTAGTTTCGGCTGGACTGCACTACCAAATCGAGGCAAGCTTAGTTTTAGCTTGCAGGCAAACGATATACCCTAGTATTAAGGTCATATGTTAAGCACAGGCGTAAGGTATACTAAATGCATTGAAAAAGAAATTACAAATTTTTTATTTTTTTTTATTTCAAACTAAAGCGCGCACCTTCAACTTCATTCATTTCTTGTATAAATGCGCACACCGGTTTCACGTAAGAAATGTTTTAAATTTTCCTATTGATTTTAATCGCTATATTATTACATTCACACCACTCGCAAACATTTGGAATAGTTTGTGGGATATGCGACGACTTACATGTTTGGAAAATATGCGTTTCTAACGTACGCAAAATAGGTTATTTAAAGAAAACTTACCGGGATTATATGTATGTTAAGAAGATTAATTGTATTTAAACTAGTGCTCATTGATATTATATATATATATATGTATATGTATACGTACATTCTAATACTTAACATAACTTATTTTATTACATATTTATGCACTAATTTATATAAATTTAACTTTTTCTGCTTTTTTTTCATTTAACCTGATAATTTTTCCATATTTTATACTGTAAATTTATAGATTTTCGACTGCAATATCGCATTGAATGCAAAACCAATGATGCCAAAATGTACATGGTGGTTGGTAGGTAATGCCAAGAAAAAATTATTATTATTATTCATTTTTTTTTCTCGAAATTTAATGTATGGCAGGAAGAAGCAAATAATGAAAAATTGAAGTATAAGTGCAACAGTTGGGATGCTTTTACATATACATACATATAACTTGTTTGATAGTACATATGCATATATACTGCTCAAAATGCTAAATTTTCAAAATAATAGCCCAGTGACAGATGTGTATTCGTGTACATATGTACATATGTATTGCAATGGATGAGCAGAGATATACGCAGCCACCTGCGTTGCATAGACACAGGCGCATAGAAAATTATTAAGAGGAATAAAAGTTGATGCGCCTAGAAGTAGACACGCTTATTGCTTTTATATTAGTTGGGCTTCATGGTATCCTGACTTTACGGGGCGTTCATAGGCGTGATGTAGGAACTAGCGCTAAACCACATTATAGAATGGTATATTTATGGTTTATAAAGAGACAACCATGTGCTACTATACAAATGTGTGGTATTCATAAGTCTGTTAGGGCTATAAACACCAGCCATACTATAACTTAGAGGCAGAAGAATGTACGTGTTTATGTTAACATATGTATGCATGTATGTAGTATGTATGTACAAGACGTTAACCGTAATTTATTATGCTCGCCAGAAGAAATATGCAAGTATATATAGATTGATTCAATTTTGAAGCGATATTATAAATATATTTAATACAACTAATCAAGAACCGTTTGGAACACAGATCTTTTATATCGTCAAATTAACACAAATTTCAAAGACAATCATTACAATATACAAGACATTGACCGGGTGAAAAAAAAATCATTATTTTTTACTCCAAATTGAGCTATTTCGAAGTGATTTCATATTGTTCTTTTTTGTCCATATTTATATTTACTATCATAACGGAACAATTTTGATTAATGTGTTTAAAATCAAATTTTTAAAATAATAAATGCCGTTTTCGAAATCATATTTTCTAAAAATAACATTTTCCAACATGAAAATAATAATTACGGAAAGAAATTGTTATGAAAATATTTATGGAGATATGAAATCAAACTCAATTTCAACGCTGCAGTCTTTAAATCGTTCTACAAATAAAATTATTATTATTATTATTATTATTATTAATATTATTATTATTTTTGCATTTACTGAATCCTAAACAAATAAGCACATTCGCAAAAAATATGGAAATCTACTTGTTTTTGTTTAATACATATATATTACTATACATACATACTTATAATTTACCGCACTATTTGTGCTTTACCCTTTGCGCTGCTATTAGTGGTGTTTGTCGTTGGTTGCTGCTGTGCCGATAACCCACCTCCACCTGCACTCGAGGAGTTATTGTTAATACTTCCACTAGCATGGGAAAAGGGCGTCGTGGTTGTTGCTGCTGCTGTTGTTGTTGTTGTTGTTGCACCGGTTTCAATTACAGACATACTGGCATTATTATTAGTACCGCCTGACACTTCCGTGGATTTCATCGTTTTCGAGCAACGTATACAGAAGTAATCATCATCAGCATTTATCTGATTTCGATTTAAGCCAACACAGAACATGTGGAACCACTCATTGCAGCCACCATCACATTGTACCCAATCCACTTCACGCCCGGTTGGTTTATGACAATTTTCTGCGCGACATTCCTCTTCATCGTCTTCCTGTTGGGGCGTTTGGTTTCGTTGAGAAGGCTTCTTTTGACCGACAAGAGTGTTGCCGTTACTCGTATTAGCTCCCACCGTACGTTTGCGTCGCTTCTGTGCCGATGGAGTGTTCGAATTATTCATACTGCTGCCATTTGCTTGCCTATTATCAGATGTATCGTCATTGGCTTGCTGCTTACCGCCACCGCCACCGCCACCACCGGTTGTGTCTGATGTTGATTTACGCGTGGACTTTTTAGTTGAAGGTGTAAAGTTTTTATTAGGAGTTGCAGTCTTTTTACGTGGTAGCGGGCAACTACTATTGAGAGGTTCTAACGAACGACGTTTCTTAATATTTCCGCTTGGGGTTCGCATAATAAAACTACCACTGTTGCTATTAGGGCTGCTTTGTACTAATAGACTATCGTTTGAATCTTCTGCGGCCGAATTGACATTTGATCTTGTTTGTTGTTTCTGTTGTAACTGATGTTGTTTTTGAAGTGCTGTTGCCTCTGCAGCGCCAATTGGTTGAATAGCTGCCAAAATACGCCATAACTCCTGTGATTCATCCAAAGATACCTCCAGAAGGTCACCTTCCATCATTAGTTCATTTAGATTTTCTTTTTCGCTATCGGACAATAACTTTTGCAACTCAAGCGGTAGTGCTGCGTCTACATTAAAAACTTCTTCCTCATCATTGCTGTAGGTGTCCTCAACAATATGTAATCGACCTTCCTCATCGTCATCATCACTACTATTATCTGGATTATCAGCAGAAATCATATCTTTGGAATTATGATTGCTCCTTCGACGCTGTTGTCTACGTGAATTATTACCTTCCGAAAAACCATTTGCAAAGACACCTTTTCGCTTTTGTTTCCTTTGCTGAGCTTTTATTGCCTCGAGTGCGGCCGTTACATCTGGACTAGTTAAAATTTTACGAGCTCGATCTTGCCAATTCATAGCGCGTTCGGCGAGACAACGTAATGCCTCATCTTCCGGCAAACGGATTGGTAGACGCTGTAAAGATACCAACAGCGGAAGTATGATTTCTAGCCGAGGTCGTTTGGAACGCACACACGAAGGACAAAGCCACTTCGGACGTGAGATGAAACTATTTCCAGTGGTTAAATTGGACTGTGGAACGCAATCCTCATGAAACCAATCGCGACAAAGTTGACAATTAAACATTACACCTTGAAACGGTGTTTTACACAAGCAATAGATATCCTTGAGTGGGTTCTTCAACATATTTTGCCGTCTAAGTTCACGCATATCGCGCAATTCTTTATCTTCAGCTTTCTTGAAAGAATCGACAATTTGTGCAGGATTCATTTCCTTTACAAAGTCATCTTGAAATTGTTGTTTTGATTCGGAGTCAATAACCACGGGTTCGGAACGTGGCATTAGGACCTCGAGCAAGGTGTAAAATGTTTGTTTCTTTAAAAAGACACGAGCGGTGTTGTCCTTCCACTCGTGTGCACTATTTAAATGACCCTGCATCCGTTTCAGCTCTTCCAATTGAATCGGTATATTCTTGCCACGCTGCACAATGGCTTCGAGGGTATGACAGTATGGAAAGTGGTCATTGGTCTGTAACTGTTCAACCGACTGCAACCAATCTTTAGCTTTACGCAATGCATCCTTAAGTGTTACATATGACGGCACCTGGCCATCTATTTCCGATGCTGTTTTAAGAAAATGCTCAATATCGGCCAACTCGTGCTGTTGTGTAGTACAATGAAAATAACGTGTTGCTTGCTTCTCCCAGGCTTCAATTGCCGCACCGATCTCTTGTAATTTTCGCATTTCTTTATCGATAATCGGATCAGTTGGATCCACTTCGGCTGCCGCGCTGGTGAGCAAATTCTTTATGTCACTATATGTCAACTTAGTGCTGCCGTTGCGCATACCTTGGGAACGTTTGTACCACTTGATTTGCTTCTGACGCATGTACAATTGATTAATCTGTGGCAATTCGATTCGAAGTGAATTACCCTCATTAATTAACTGTTCTATTTCAGGCTCTTCCAAACAGTCAATTGCACGATCCAACAATGTGTTTGCTCGCTCCGAAAATTGCTTACCAAGCACGAGAAGCTCTCGCACAGATGTACCTTCCTCTATAATGCAACATAAATTATTAATTTCTTGTACAAATAATTCCAATTCTTCCATTGTAAGTTTGTACTGGGCTGCCTCCTGGTTATTATCAGATCGTGTGCGTACCTAATGGAATGAAAGAGTTTATTCTAAAATTTAAAAACCAGGAGAGAAAACAACGAACAGATATAAAATATAATATATGTATGTACGAGTATACTTTGACTGAGTGTCATGAAACGAGATGTGAAATTTGAGTGGTGAAAAAGTTGATGAAGAAAAAAATTTTAACATTTAGCTGAAAATAAGCTTAAAGACCACCTCTGGCCAGCAGTATGCTTTTATTATTAGAATCTTAGTGCAGAACATTGCTAAAAAACACTTCTATCCGTCCAATATTTTCTTATTTTTTCTTTTTAAGATATCAAATTAAGCCGGTTCTTACCTTGTTTATACCCAATTGCTGGATTACAGTTACGCATTTCTCAGCTTCACCAATGGCGTTGTGTAGACGATCTATTAATAGTGATGATGGAAATTTTTTCACTTCCGCTTCCTTACATAAATCTAGTAATTCCGATAACGGTGCAGAAGTGGTTGTGTTTTCATCGACTATATCGCGGCAGCGTGACAACCACCGTTCAAAGCTCTGCGCCTTGGCCTTTAGTTTTTGCAACATTAGTGGCATTTCGTCAAGTGTATACCTATATAAAAGTGTATGCTTTTCAGAAAGGCAATCACATAGCACTGTATAGTGGCGTAGACAAACGATCGATTTAGTACATTCACATGAGACGGCTGATAAAAAGCATGTGGTATTGCATTCTTGACAATGTCGTTCATCATCTGGCACCAGTTCGAATGCTTTTCGTTCGGCGCGTGTCACACCCCATTCGAGTAAGGATTTACGTAATTTCTTCTCGGAATCTACCATTTCTGCCATGTCAATATAACACGCTGTAGCAATACCAAAGGTCAATTTAGCTGGCTCCAGTGCCATTTTACATACAAGCTCGTCGTGAGAAAATACGCAAAATCTGCGTAGCATCGAATAATGATTAACACATTCTCTGCCCATTTTTAGCCAATCAGCGGGAGCAAAATTTACCGCTTCAGCAAAGTTGTAACCCTGATTGAAGCCAGCATGATATGCGCGCGGGAATGTGATGACAAATTCACCCGCATTCTGATCCGTTCGATAAACGGGTACACCATTATTCATTAGTATATTGGGATTCATTATAGTAACCAATTGATGTAATAAATCGGGTTGAGAGGCAAAGAGTTCGGGTGCTGCCTGCTTCATTGTCTCTTCAAATTGTTCAGCACATAAGCCGGGTACACCGTACCAAGTTTTCGGTTCGCCCCAGTGCAAGTAATTAATTGAGTAGCTCCAGTGGTCTTCATTATGCCAACAGAAGGCTGCAAAGCACATACCAACATACATCCATGGTGCATTCATACCACTTATATCAGCATTAATATGACCCAAAATGGAATCTTCCAGCAAGGGTAAATTATTCAAATTCCAACTAGATTCAGCATACTCTTGATCGCCGGGAAGTAAATATAAAGAGCTTTTTGTCGGAAAACCCGAACCATGATCCATGGTATGCAAATCAGCCCCATATTCCACAGTGACATCTTCGTCAATTGAAGAGACAATACGCCAAAACTCTCGCTCCACCAAATGGGTAGGTACTAGATGCACTGGTTTACGAAAGTAGTCCATTTTAAACTGGTCCGCCATTTGTCCAAATTGTTGCAATGTATATTCTCGTTCTGCTTGCTCGAAGCCAAAGGCTTCAGTAGGCTTGCTTACCTCCTCCACAACACAACGTGGGCAAAGCCATTCCCCTAAAATTAAAAAAATGAGATTTTTACATGTATTATAGTTAAATATTGATACTATCTGAACAAAAATTAAGATTACAAACTAACTCCACCGCATAGGTGTCAACTAGGTTCTAGTGGGTACTCAATGCACCAAATCTGTTCGCGTTTAATGTTAGAATGTATGTACCATACAGTATAACCATACGAAATGATTATAGTCCGAGTATACACTGCGGGTTAGAGGCTCAAGAACTTACCTGCGGAAAGATGTGCCTGTCGTAAGACTAAATTCCAATGTTTCTCCATTTAGTAACATAAAAGCACATTGTCTATGCTTTGGGGGGTATGAGGGAGAGAATATTAAAGTTTAGGGAAAGATAATGTTAAATAATACATTTGAACTTATCCATGGAAGCGTTTGGCTCTTAATGGAGCTCGTATGAGACTTCAATAGGAAAAATTAGAGGTGGTGCGGGGTGACCATTCCTCTTTTCACACCATAGAAGTAGAGCGAGGGTGCTCCATGGAATTCTTGGAAAGTGATTGTGATGGATGTTTAAAAAGTCAATTTTACTTAAGCGTAAGTTTAGCCCAACAAAAGAGTGTGTACTGTAAACTCTCACTTACCTTTTGGAATGCTTGACAACGGCGGTAACAAGCAAAATGTGTGGTAACTGTCATCACATCCATCGCATAATAGCATCGATTCCTCTACATCACCTCGATTACAGATGTGACAAATATATTTCATCAAGGGATCAACTATTTGAGGATCCGGTGCTTTCTTTTGAGCCGATGAGTTTACTGAGCCAGTTCCTCCACCTTGGACACGGGTCGCTGTTGAAGATGTTGAAGAACCGGATACATTAAAACTATTCAAAAGATCTCGCTTGCAATCTTCCTTTGATTCGGTTTTTACATTGCAGCGTGTTGGTGTATTACCCAGACCACAATTGGCACTGGAATTTGCAAATCGCTTCGATCGACGAGCATTGTTTTCATTAGGCGGCGTAATTTGTTGCCGTGTTGGAATTTCATGTGTTTTATAATCCGTACCATCTTCCAATTTCACGGCATCTAGACTGGTGCTTGTGCTTGTGCCAGCTCCTAACACTTTACCGGAAGTATAAACTTCAAATGGATGAAGGATACGTTCATAATGTGATTTCAATGTAGCGCCGACACTTTTGCTCGATGGATACATCATACGATTTGCTACCTTTGCCCATTTGCGTTCCTTTGTAGTTTGTTCCATGCCTCCTTCCTCTTGGACAACACGGTGTAATGTATACAGATCCAAAGCTTTACGTTCTACCATTGGGATTTTTAATGAAGAACCTTGAAGTTCCCAAAACTTGGCAATTTGATCTAAGAAATTAAGCTTCACGCGTGTCTTTGCTTCCAATTCATTAAGACGTTGTACGCGTGGTGTGAATTTTAATTTATCTACATCTACGGCAAATGGTGGTGACCATGATTCGGGTGGCAAAATTTTTGCTATACCACATTTCTCGGCAATGGGTCTTATCTTGCTTATATAAGCCAGTGGATTCTTAAATTCGTCCTGTGTAGGACGGAAAACAGGACATTCCACAGGAGTATCGAAATGAAATTCTTCGGTTTTATTTAAATTAAATGTACTAGAGCTGTGTGGTTGTAAATGTGTTAACGGTTTACCCCTGCCGCGTTCATTTGTTGGGTGAGGACAACTATTGTGATATTTTTTGCCTGATCCATTAGCTGCATTTAAACTGTTGTTAGTACTTTGCTTCTCATCAACTGAAGTACCACCTGCGCCCAAAGTTGCGGTAACAGCATTATTAGTTCCGCCTCCGTTATTTTTATTTGAGTCTGACGAATTCACATAGCGTTCCGTCGCGTTACTGTTATTACTATTATTCTTTTTACCAGAATCACCACCGCTCACATTTCCTCCCGTTGAAGTTCGCGTACGCAGACGACGTGCTGGGGTGGTATTTCCACTTGTACCACCTGCCGAAGTAGATGCGGCCGAAACATCCACTGTGGTACCCTTGCTCGCCATTACTTTCAAAAAATTTTAAGAAAAATTAGTTTCTAATATGCACTAAAATGAAATAAAATATATATTTTGATGTTAGTAATCTCACAATGATATGTTCTTTATATAAAATATATCACAATAGGTACGAATTGGCATGAACGAAAGTAAACGTAAATAACATCAGATATTTCCCTGCAAAAAGAAAGTTTCAGTGTGCCTAAGAAAAATTAAAATAATAAGAAAAAAGGAGATGTATGTATATGTATTTCTTTCGAAGGGAGGAGCTAAGCATAGTCTTGCGGACCTTTTACTCGCGATGGACATATTCCATATTTAGGTGTGCAGCTAAAATACCCGTTTACGAAGGATTTGAAGAATAGAGGAAGTCAATAGCATCTCGTGTTCGACAAGAAGAGGAGATAATACTAAGTCACTCAGGAAAGAAATCCTTTTAAACGAATGATTGAAATCCACGCCACGAGCACATCACTAATTAATTAATCACAATAACGAACAATTTGAAACCATAAGGTATCAAAACTTTAACGACTGTCCTCCATGTACAATTTGTATCTCTTATAGTTTTATTGGCAATGCCATATGGCTGGAATATTTTTGTGGCATATCTAAAGAGCAATATTTTACAAGCAGCACTCCTACCTACATTCCCATCGTGCATATTTGTAAATGTATGCATCTATCAAGTCCTTATATAAAAAGAGGGTGACGTAAGCAATTAAAATTGAAAATAACGGGACTTGAAAAATTTTGATTTTATTAAATATTTTCAAAATAATTATTCATATATGTACATTTGTATTTATGTTAATGAAGAATAATTCTTTTTTTTAAAGTCATTTTTATTTTCGTAACAGTCTCATATGTACATACACATTTACATGGTAACGACAGGGAAATGTGTTTTCCTGTAAAACCGCATTAAGTCTTGTTTATTCGCTTCCTTCATAATAAATTGTAGACTGAGAGCAAACATCCAAAATTACTTAGTTTTTTATAAATTCCGACGACCATCGGAAAGTACGGCTAGCCACTCCGACACTCCACACAAAAATCCTTAGTATTTCGGCGACAGAATAAAACTGTAGGTCTTATATTTTTGGGGAAAAAAATTATTTTGCAATTCAACGATGGAATAAATATGTGTTCCGAAGAAAAATACCAAAAACATAGCACAAGTCGTAGAAGCTCTGTCAAAAATTACTGAGTTACGATCGGTTACAGTTTTAGAAATTTTGGAACGGAGTAACTACGAACGTTCGGTTCACGGCACTCGTGTGTATATTTTAATAATTTATGTATATCTGTTTGTACATGCCAAGAAATAAGATGTGGTTAGATGCACTATAATTTTTTTTTCAAAACTGTGATTATAGGTAGGACTTTTAATGAAAAATCAAATTAAAAAATATACTGAAATTTTATTTCATCAGTTTTAGATATAATTACATATATAATAGTGGTTGGGAAAACCGCTTTACCGAATGTGATACATATAAAAAATGGAATCGGAAGCACACCCCTGTTTGACAAGTAAATTAGCAATGTAATAAGTTTTTTTTTTTCAAACAAAGAACGGAAAAATCAATCGAACTACTAAATATATTATTTTTTATTCTTTGAGAAATAAAATTGCAAAATGAAATTGAGTTTATTGGAAATAATGCCCATCAGTATGTATCTCGAATTGTAGGCCGAAATTATTATGCTTTTGCGTGTGTAACCTAACATCAAACCCCCCACAATAAACTTTCACAATCCACGCGTTACCTCACCTTTTTGTAAACACAACTTTTCAGTAAAATATTAATTTTATTCATCAATAACTTTTTATTCACTTCAAACTATACAAATATATACATACATTGCAAACATGTTCATGGATTTTTCTTCAGATATATTTTATATAATTAGGATTTTTTTCGGTAACCTAGGACAAAAAGTACACTCACGCGCAATAAAAATTAAAACTATCAAAATGAAGGCGATTTACAAGCAAATACTTTTCATTCGTCCCTGCCATAAGGACAGCATTAGCAGACCATGGTTATTGGTAGATTTCACTGCAAATATATTAAAATTTTCAGATATCATGTCGACGTGTCTTACAAGGGATTTATTATTCTTTTTTTTGAAAAAAATTTAGTAAGGTTTGGGTATGTCGTCTTGTATCCAAACAAATCACATTGTCTAAAACCAAGCACACAATACATTGTTAGAGACCTTTCTTCGGAAACGACAACACCAAGACTTTTTCCCATAATCAAATACACAAAAATATTAAACAAAAAAGGAAAAGTTGCCAAAATTACTTTTTATGTATATATGTATATAGATATATTAGCATAAGGTAAAAACTGTCTATTATATGGGATTCACGTAATTTTTGTTTTAACACTAAAAATTGTACACCCACTTCGCTGCAATTATAAGAAATAAACTTTTCCTGATACACTTTTTGTATAATTTATTATTCATTGCACTAATTTCTCATTGACAACCGCCATGCTCGTATGCTTTATTTGCATGTATGTACATATGTATTCCCTTACGACTTCCATAGAACCAATTATAGAAAACAATTCTTATATAGCACTAATTTATAATTGAAATATGTAATTAATTAGTTCTTACGGGTATTTTCCTCTTTGAAGTTAATAACGAAGTAATAAACTTTGTATTCTGTTAAAACTTCCTGATGTCACAATAGCACAATGTTCGTTCGACAATGGACTATATTTTATTTCAGTTTTTAAAAAGTATGTTCTTTATATATTCACATTGAATAGTTAGAAAAACTATTTCTTTCTATTTCCAATTTATCCGTAATGTAAAAATACATTTTTCTTGAGGCGCAGAATAAATTTTCGCTTTATCAAACGATAAACACGAACACTATTGGTAAAAGGCGAATCAGACATATTGTACAAACGAACAGTGAAACTCAACGAGAGCACAATTACCCACACCAACAACCGACTTTTCTCGTTAACTTTATTCCCCAATTTGTGAGGTAATAATCAAACATCGAAATTATCGATTAACTATATTTAATTCGTATCTCTAATAAATGTCGCTATTTTTTATTTATACCTACGCTACGTACACACCGTGGTATCTTAGAGACCGGCTCTTTCTTTAAACACTGCCTATTTTTAAACCTCGTGGCTTATTTCACGTTGGTTATAATGGCGCTTTGTAACCGCTGGGGCGATTTTTCGTCGAGCTTCTCCTCCAGTTTGCGGTTTTTGCGTCTTGATGTTTTCCAACAAAGGGATTTACAATTTATACTAAGCCGCCTCCGAACGGTTGATGTTTTTTTATGAGTAGCTTTATTTAATGTTAAAAACAAAGATCTGTGATCTTAGATTCTTTCGTCATCCTACCTTTTTTTGATAGTTGATTAAGAATTGTTGTAACCGCAAAGATATTCCCCAAAATACTTTTTGGGGAATGTTGCGGGAGTGACAGTCCTTGGCCAGATACAAATCCGGGTCGTTCCGGTATGAAGACCCCACTGCCGCAGAAACTATTAGATTTTAGTCGCCTCTTACGACAGGCATGTTTCACCGCCGGTCAACTCTTTAACACTTAGCCTGTGAATGCCTCTTTTTAAATATATTCGGCACAATTTCTTTGCTTTCCACTAGTAACGAATTCTTTATAATGACAATTGTAGACGAGTGCCATTAAATTTAAAATGTTAATTACTATTTTGAATATTGCAAGCGGTTTGTTCGTTCGTAGAATATTTTCAAATGTTCATTTATTTGATCTCTTTACAAAAAAATATAAAATGAAATTAAAACAAAACAACACGTTCAATGAATGAAAACACTTGAATTCGCTGCAGTATTAATTCGCTGCATTATAACAAGCAGGATTACCGGTGTGTTTTTATTTTCATGAATATATGAATTAACAAAGAATCTTCACAAATCTGTCGAAAAATTAGTGCTTGCGAAAATTTTGCAATTTCGTATTGTATTGGATATTTTTCCCTTATCCTTTTATCCGTTTATAAATTGTACGCGTAATACACCGCATTTCTTAATATTTGTTAATGCTGAAAACATTTTGGTGGACACTACTACTGGCAACCATAGAAAATTACAGAAAATTGTCAACAGATGTCCCATCATCATCTGGAATGCCGGATAAGGAAAGTAAAGCAAAGAAGAAAGCCACTCAAACTATAATATTTTTTTAAGATGATGACCTAACGCCGGCTAGCTTTACTTGCTTCGCTGTGAGAACTGCCAATACCAAATGCTACACAGCTTTAAGCACTTGAAGCACGTCAAAGTTTTTAATAGATCTATGTTCTTATTCGTCTTTACTTTTGACAGTGGAAATCCGAGTCACGGTTGCCGCTTTGGCCGTAAGGTACTAATTTTGACAACGTTTAAAGTATTCATTTGGTCATACAAGCGTTCGAAGTAAGTTAAGTTAATGAAAGTCAGCACAGCTAGCTCGAGTTGGAACAGGGATTTTATGCCATGCCTTTACATTTTTGGGGCTTATATCACTGAAGCAATTTTTGGTCTGAGGGGCGAACAGATTAAAAATTATTATTAAAACTTATAACGTTGGTCTCTTTGAAACCTTGCTGTACACTCGACTACATGAGTCTTCTAAACCACTCAACTTCCCTAAACTGTAGGTCCTTTGATTAATCGAACCAGAGCAATAAATTTATGATGATCTCATAGTTGCGGTAGTGCCTGTGTAATGAAACTACAGCGATGATTCGCGTCAAGAATAGAATTTCAATGATAAAAAACAACGGCGTTTTTTATACAGCTTAATTATATGGGGTACGCTAACGATCGTTCTACGGCTGAGGGTTGGATGGGAAATAAAGATGGATTATATTATGAAGAGATGATCCTGCCACGAAGCTCCAAAGCGAGTTGAAAGTGGTTGAGAGTGTAGCAAAGTGGAAGAAGGTCAGAGTCGTTTATGTCTACAAGCTACAGGACTAACTGATGGTAGAGAAGACAGAGATATGAACGAACAAGGAAATAAATGATGACTGTATCTAACGTTACAATACTTTTTGAAAGAAAAACAGGTGAAAGCAGCGGAGAGAACCAACTCTCCCTCGAAACTATGATGCAAACTTTGAGCCGAGATGAATGGAGATATAGTAAAATCTAATTATACTAATTAGTTATGATTGTCTTCTCTTACTTACCTTCTCGATACCACTATAATATACTTGCTTGTCTACTTTTATATAATATAAGTTAGTGCGGCGACCTCGATCCACCTCCGCCTATTTGAAAAATTCCCGTTGAACAATAACGTCTGTGCTTAGCCTGATGTTAAATACTTCCAGCATATTTGGGGCATTATTGCGGTGGCAGCAGTCGCAGAATAAGCCTTTGGTCACAATTCTTTCCAGCGGGCATGGATTGCAAACAAGCGATATGCTTTAATGCAGATTGATACAAATAAGTGAATATACGGGACGAACGATAGAACTCGGGACATGGAGAGAATCTCTTCCCTCTGTATTTTGGAGGCTCTCTTTAGCGAATCTTGTTGTTTTTTCATTTGAGAAAACTATTTCACAGCCAATCCTCGACGAAGCGCAAAACCTTACTACACTTTTTACCAATGATGACTAGATACGAAACTCTTTATTCCGTGAGAGCGCTCAAAAATCCGCATTTTTTATAACATTTCTGAACAGTGCCACTGTGATGGAAAAACGACTTATTTGGATTTTTAGGTATATTTTGGGTATTTTATTACAAACAACGACGTCTTTAATTGCAATTTCACTGAAAAATTTCATTGAGAAGCAATTCAGTATTTAATTATATTAAGTTTTAGTAATGAAATTACAATAATTTCTTTAATATTTACTGCTGAAGCAAATTTCTTTTGAAACAAAAACAATGGATTTTTTTATTGGCATAGTGGCACTGGTGCTTTTTGCACAGCAGATGTTGAATGTTCCCCGATCTGACACTGCTGCCAACATTAGAATGTGAGATGGGGGAACGCTCTCAGCTGCGATTTGAGTAAGTTTCGTATCTAGTCATCTTTGCTTTTTACCGCTTTTTCATAACTGCTGCTTGTTTGCATGCACGCAAAACAAATTCGCGAAGGTATCACTCGTTTATATCCGATAGTTTATTAGGGTCGTTCGAGATGTGCATCGAGATAAGTGACAACGAGACAGTGAGTGAAATAAAATTGGGGTTTGGTGGAAAGAGGTGCATATTACCTGATACTCCATTTTCTTCTGAAGGAAAAATTTAAAGCAAACGACTTGTATAATAACAGTAAGCATATATGTATGTTATGTATACCTAAATGCATACATATATGCTTGTTTTATTCAAGGTATGAATGTGTACTTCAATTGTTTTATAGTACAATATATATGTATGTAGTATGTTTTTACATTCACTTATGCTAAATTCGTATATATTTATGCATATTTATATAGATATATGTCGGTATTTAGTTGTTTACATTGTATTTATGTATGTATATATTGTATTTATATGAATGTACTGCTAAGCATTACTCTTATCATAGGGATATGTTAAGCTTTCTTAGAGCACTTTTAGGCGTGTTCACCCCAATATGTTTTCTCGCTAAAGGCAACATAAAGCGCATTAAGCGCTGTGTTAATTGATTTACTCATTTTTTTATCTACTTTATCATTAATTTTTGCCTTCGATTATATATTAAAAGTATTTACATATATAAAGTTACAAGTTTTTGCATATTCGTATATTTATAGAGGTATTTATATATAAATAAATAAATGATCAGCGTCACCACGGTAAAGAGTGAGAACTACAACTTGAAATCTATTTGATTGGCCTTAAGCTCTGTAGGTTATTGTACTTAATTATGTACATACACATACGAAAAAGAAAGTTAGAAGATTTCACCGGCAGCTACTACCAACGATAAAGCTAAAAAAATTCTTTCGCTTACACCACTGTGTGTGGAGATTTTTCCATCGTTTTCTTCAAAATAAATATTAAAACAGCTTTTACGTGGCGGCAGCGATATGTATTGTATATATGTATATGTATGTTTTAATTTGGTTTCATATGTATGAGTATATCAATAAAGCGGTGTATTCATTGAGTGCACTCTTTTGCCTTCCTACTCCAGGGGAAGCTAGCTATGTTTAGGGATTATACTTATCGTAATCGATGTTGATGTTGTGTCACATACTTATTATCGATTGCATGCAAAGATTAAAATTAAAGCGATTGGGAACAACTTCGTACATGTTAAAACGCGTAAGTGGGCAAGAAAAGGAAGTTTGACACAATAGTCAGAAAATTTAGTCGGAGACCACCCTCTGTTCTAAGATTGCTCAACTTCGCCTAGGCCTGAATAACAGATTAGAGCATAAAGAAAATATTTTTCCTGTCAGAGTATATTTTGAAGCTGCGGAAATTTTGAAATTTATTGACATCATCCGGACTGACCTATTATTGAAGCCGAAATTTATATCACAATCACTCTCTGATTTTGATGTAAACGATGGAACCAACAGTTTCAACTAAATTTGAATACAACACTCAGTCCGAAAGTAAGAAGGCAGTGCAAGGATAACCTCAAATTATACGATTTAGTGCACACACATGTGTATGTATGTCTACGTAGTAGAACATATATATATATATCTATATATTTGAATAATAACAGATTCCTTCAGTTTCAAAATCATTGTCTGAATAATATCAAAGCAACAATCCAGAGTAGTTGTTTGGTAAGAACATTTCGTAATGCGCCATGGCTTAAATGATGCTTATCGTCGTGTCTACCACTTGAGTCTGAACCATTATTTATCTTATCCGCATATGATTTTTGCTCCGACAAGCCGATTTCGTTCAAATTTGAAAGAAAACGTGTGCCTGAAAGAAAATGAATTTATGTTTGTATGCAAATTAGCACTAATCAATATGTTATAGAAGCAGGGTTGTAATTCTAATTATTTCTAAATCGTGCAAAATTAGAGTTGGTCCTTCAGTTATTGTACGAATTTCACATATCAGCTGATTTATTTTTCTTTTGTCGTGTACGAGTATATAAGGCGAATTCAGATAAGGGAAGTTTGTATTACAGCTGTTTTCGCCGCCTTTTGATTGCTGGACTTCCGGCATTTCAAGTGTGAAGTGTAAGCCATACAATAGTTAATTCAACATGAATTTATTATAACATTTTAACAATATTAGATGTGTTATTTTGAAGAGCTTGCTATTCCGGCTGATGTCACTTTTGAAGCTGTAATTTCTTTCGATATTTGACAAGTGTAAAATATGCCAGTAATAAAAATGGAAAGATACACGCTTCAAGAACGCATTCAATTATTAAGATTCACTACAAAAATTTTATCGAAAAGTCATCTTGACTGATGAGGCCCACTTCCATTTCGATGGCTACGTCAATAAGCGAAACTACCGCATCTGGGGCTCGGAAAACCCTAAGATTGATCGTTGAAAAGCCTCTCCATCCTCAATGTATGACTGTTTGGTGCGATTTGTAATCCGGCGGGACTTTACTTTTTCGAAAATTAATGAATTGCGCTATTGATAAATGATTAATAATTTTTTATGACCAGAATTAGTTGGCGCTACGTGCCACACAAGCAACGAAGCAATGAGTTTTTATTAAGGAAAAGTGTCTTTAAATATCACAAACGAATTTCTTTAGGTCAAGTAATTTCTTTAATTTTAATGCTGCTTTTCTTTTTTTTATTATGCCATTATTTACATTTTTTCTCATTGCGGCCATCTGTAGTGAATTCACCTTGCGTGAATATTTACGTCACATTTTCGCTTGACACACAACAATACGGTGTGGTGACTCCCGCCCTATAGCGCCACGATAACAGCAACGATCATCCAAACATTTCACGCAAGAAAACACAATTAAATCGAAAACGAAGTCAGCTAATTAATACACATTCATACACGTGACGTTGCCATAATATATTTTGTCTCTTAAAAAACTTTACTAAGTTAACATTTTTGCAGCATTCCATATTAAGAGAGTTTATCACATTAAAATAATTTCAAGTATTTTATGTTTCTTTGATTTATTGACTCACTAAACGTTTGTACGTTTAAGATTGGAATGGCAACTCTTAATCTGCTCAATGCCGACATATAAGAAATAGGTTTTAGTTGCAAGTGTGTCACCCTGTTGTCGAGTCGGGTTCAAAATAAACTTTACTACAGGAGCATGTATTTAGTGTCGATGTTTAAGCGATTAACCCGACGCAACGAATTTTAACATAAATTTTACTTTGATGCAGTTAAGAATCGTTAGACAAATGCAAACAATCACTCCATCACTGCAGAATAGGATATGTATTTGATTCCATTCTTATTGGATTCCAGCTTCTCATTATTGTAGCTATAGCTTTAGTGTACCTATAATTAAGGGTTTGATATACATATGTATGTGTGTACAACTTACTTTTGTCTTGACCATAATTTGATCGTGAGCTTTCACTTCCATGGCCGAAATATCCATCTCTACGTGCTTCCGTTGAAAGCAGACCTGGAGGTAGAGTAGTCTGCGGATATGAAACTGCAAAAAAAAATAGAAACAAAAAAACTCTTGTTTATATAAGGCATTTGTACACGGAGCAAACAAGATATATGACATACATTGTATATTAATATACTTTTTTTGTTATTGTTTTTTTATTTTTTATTTTATATGGTTTTTATGGTTCGATTAACAGATTGGGCTATTTTTTTACCATAAAATCGCGCCAAATTTAGCAAACAACAAGTTATTGTGCAAGGCATAACCTCTGTGTTGGTCCGGCCAGGATCCAGGTAAACGTAAATTAGAGTATGTAAGTAACATTTATACTCACCATACAACCGAATTACACCATCTGTTTCTCCACGTGGATTTTTGGCTACACATTTATAAATTCCATCATCGCCACTACCAACATTTATGATTGTAAGTCTCATATGAGTTTTATAAACTGGTACACCCACACTTGATTCCACCCTGAAAAAATAAAATTAGTTGATATTAAAGTAAAATCTGTTTTTTTAAGATCCATCTTTGAAGTCTCCTATTTTTTTCCTACCATACAATTTTAATTAACTTATTTGACTGATCAATAACTCGCCGTCGTTAATTAAGTCTACAAAAAAATCTAGCATTTGAAATTGCTTGCCATTCGATAACTAAACTACTATTGCATAGTGGTCTTACTATCGATTATTTTCATTCGATAACTATAATTTTAGTTCATCAATTATTTAGCAAACATATGGTATGTAATACGGTATAAGCTACATTTTCTAATTAATTAAGTTCCTACTCACTTGTATTTGTAGGAGTCGTGTATTATTGGTCCTTCTCCGCGTGTCCAATAATTCAGGGAGGTTGGATGTGCTTCTGTGAAACATTCGATTGTAACATTGAAACCTTCGGGAGCGCCCACCAGCTGATGTGGTATTAAAAGCATTGGAGGAACTGTACGAAGGAAAGAAAAAGAGTTTGTGTTTAAGTTAAAAAGAAATATTTATATTTATAATTATTATTATAAACACTAATATAAATACATATAGCCTCAGAAAAAGTAATAACGAAAGGTCTAAGGGACCGAAAAGATTTTGAGGAAAATTATTCTTCCGACTTTTACCCATGGGCTTTAAGTTCCGAACCATATTTTTTGTTTTAATTATTTATTTTTTACTTACAATCCACACTGACTTTTATGCGCTTGGACACGCTTGGTGGCACTCCATTCGATGCTATGCATAGGTAGGCACCCATATCCAGGCGGGATATTCGTGTAATCTCCAGTGTATCTCCCTCCCATTCGTTCACTGTAATAGTACACAACAGAAAGATGGAATTTAAAAAAAAGCACAACATATTCGAAGATAGCTTTTTGTCCTCAGAAGTGGACCAGATCTATTTATTCGAAAATATCGTCTTTATGGTTCGATTTGTTTGAATTTTTTTATGTATTTATGTAGGCGAAATGCCTTTTGAGTACTAAACACTTTTTATTTACTAGAAACTTGGTACCAATCAATAAACTTTAGCGACCTAATAACCTTAGTAACTCTTATGGTATGGTATGGTACTATGGAAAATGCAATTACCTATATGGTTTTTATTGATTGTGATTCTTGAATTGTCATCTCTCTTCCATTTTATGATCGGCCTTGGACTACCTGTCGCTCGACAGCGTAAGGAGATATTCGAACCCTCACGCACAATAACATCACTGGAGCTAAGTGAGTCATCGATGTTGGGTGGCACTGTGAAGAAAATGGTTATTTCAAGCAATTATGTCTATAAAAGATGTTATCATCTCAACAAACTGATTTGCAGTTCAAAAAATTAGGAAAAATTTCGAAATAACTATTTTTTTAACTCTATTTGAAAATGTGAGGTTAGATTCGTTTGACTTGTATAAAAAGTGCAAATAAATATCTTCTAACTTGTAAGTACTTACCCACCACATTTAGGTAACCAAATTGCGTCTTCGCTGTCACTGTATTGATCTGACACATATACCGGCCCTTGTCTTCTTGGTGAACGTTGTTTATATGTAAATACCATGTCCGATGACGGTCATGTTTATCATGCGTTACACTGATACGCGGGTTACGTGTGATCACGTGATTATGTACTGTTAGGATAGCAGATTGTTCGAAATGCATCCAGGCAACCTAAAATTAAAAGGAATACAACGGTCAAACGGTTTCCGGTATACTATATTGGCGGAATTGTACTTCCTTCGTCACTTAATATCTTCCGTCTTGTAGTACAAATAAGTTAAAAACAAACTAAAAACACAGAAAGTTAAATACAAAAGCAACAAAAAACTTAAATTAAATGGAACCAAATCAATTAAAAGTCATATAAAATGAAATAGAGTAAAACAAAAAATTAAATGTAATGTAATGGTAAGCTTAAATAAACTAAAAAAATTATAATAAAATAAAATAAATAAAAATAAAATAAAATAAAATAAAATAAAATAAAATAAAATAAAATAAAATAAAATAAAATAAAATAAAATAAAATAAAATAAAATAAAATAAAATAAAATAAAATAAATAAATAAATCGCAGTAAAGTGAAATCAAATAAAATGTTTCAAATAAAATTATACTAAATTTAATTAAAAAATGAAATAAAGTTAAATGAAGTAAGTGAAATAATAAAATGCCTCTAAAAACAGCTAACTGTGCGTAGTGAAATGACGAGATCTAAAATGATTATTTTAGACATTTTTTATGCTCGACTAATCATCATTTATCTCTCCGTAGGTATTTGCAATAAAACATGTCATCACTGTGATTATTAAAAATAATTGGTCTCGAGTAATTTTTTTATTTATTTCGCCATATTAGCGCACACTAACAGAATTTCTATTTGTTCCTGCATTAGCAAACTAAATGCTGTATTTTTTTGCTATTTTTCTGAAGCGCTGCTAATATATGACAGCAGCGTAAAAAACAGACACTACAGCCGTGCGAAATAAGCATACGAAAAGCATAGCAAAATATATAAGAAATAATAAATATATATGTATGTATACGAGTATATATGGATAAGGTATTCTTCCATGTAACCTAATTGTCTCGGCACTCAAAATTTTCATTCATCTTCCGCCGGTAACGCACAATTGGTAACTAAACACTATTTTTTATTGCAGCTTAATTGTTGATCCTTTTTTCCTACTTTTTTTTTTAGTCACCAATCAAATATAGCTGAAAAATTACGGACTACTCTTAACGAGCTGACCGTCCATTTACCTTAGCAGCAGCAATTGTGCTATGAAAAATGGCACTCAAATCACGCAAAAGGACAAAGGGTGCAAACAAAAAGCTCTAAGGATATTTATCCGTTGATTTTATGTTTGAGCTTTATTTTTTGTTTTGCTTCCTTTCTGGTTGATTGGATATTTTGTTGAGCAGGAAGAACACATAGTATTATCAGCATGCTGTTGGATAGTGGTTGCTACGAGTACTTGCTTAAGAAATTTCAAGAAAAAATAAAATTGTGATTCTTAGCCAACCTAAAGCTCTGTAAGGAAAATAAAAATTTATTTTTTATAATTTGGTGCGTTTTAAACCAATATAAATCAGAGGATTATATACAAATGAAAAATAAAAATCATAACAGAAAAATGAGAGAAATGACAGCTGAGTAGAAAACCGAAATCCTGGAAAAGCTTAAGGACATGAAAGAAAGTGCATTTCAGAACTGTTTCGAGAATTTGAAAAAGGTGCTGGCGCAAGCTTACTACATCTGAGATGGATTACTTTGAAGTGTAATATTAAGAATATTGAAAAAATTATTTTTTGTTTTAAGAAAAATTAGGTTCACTTAATTTTTTTTTAACAGTTTATTAGTTTATTTGATAAAAAGAACTCTAAAATATTCATACAAGAGTATATACGCATACCGATTGCCGTCAATTAATTATGTTAGATAATACTTTGCAAAAAACTGTTCGAGGTTAGGTTTAATTTTGATCCTTGAGAATAAATTTAATCTAACGATTTTAGTGTACCTTAAACACACTTACCTTATATGATCCAAGATTCTTCACAGAACAACCCAGTTTAACATTTCGTCCAGCAGGTACAGTTATGTTTTCGATGTATTCAGTAAATTCGGGCTCTTCAACAACAGCTGGAAGAGAAATCATTAAAAGGAAACTTTTAGGAATCCCTAAGGCTTCTAAATACTTAATTCTTAATATAATTATATTGATACATATATATTATACATATGCCTGTATGCCATCGGAACTTTGTTCGTCCCAAGAACACTGTACTTTTTCCGGTGGCTACTACAGTGACAGATTGTTATAGAATTTTATACTGAACGACATCACGGGGAGTTCTATCCCAACACCGCTGGCAATCCTGGTATTGTTGAGCTTCAGTTTACCCAGCTGAAAAAGGTGTTATGTCCTCACAGCTGGGTAAAAGAAGCTTTTTTCGTGCAGAGCATATCAAAATAACTTATTTAAACCATTCAGACAGCAAACCATTGGTACCCAACGTTTTATTGTTCTTCCAGTGAACAATCCCTATTCGAATAACGTCGGGTTTTGTAAAAATTATTCCGTGATCTTTAATTCTAGCCGCAATTTAGCAAAGTGGAGAAGTATTCCATCCATAAACTCAGTAAGCTATATGACCAAAATGTTCGTCTATTAGTTAGGAACGATGACGCAGCGTAAGTACAACTCGACTAATAGCAAAGGCAGCTCTGATTTTCACCCTTTCCGACTAACCCACTACACTCCGTTCCAACAGTTAGTTACATAGTAGTAACTTTAGTAGCGCTGGATGTCAAGCATTGTGGAAATATAATATATGTTAAATATTTCCAGTTAGCCTAATCGAATGTGTAGGCCTTGACATTAAGAGGGTGTTTATGTTCTGTGCATAATGAACCCCCATACCGATACCTTCGATGCGGTGCGGGTTCAGTACGTATGACGCTGAAATCATCACAACTATTAATGTTTGAACGGTCACTTTTGCGGCTCCTAAAGGCAGTTGTATCTCAGATATCTGTTCCACTTTTAGAGGTTGCTTCCTTTGAACTCTTGTTGCCTTAACTAGCATGTTAGGGCCTTGGGGAAATGTCGTAAAGAATATAAATTTTTCTGCTGAATTACCTGCTTTAGAAGTTGGCGCATGTTTGTTACTTAATAGGTATGGACCGAAGAGTTACATCAACTACCCCAGAGGTGACAGTACGAGATAAAATGAACTGTTATGTAATCTTCTATCGATATCGGTCGAGAGCAAGCTTGTTGGAGTTATGGACAGACAAAGGGAGTTTGCGAGGTTGCGATGCCGTTCGTATAGCTATTTAGGATGGACGCATGGTACATTCTCTTTATATGTAAGGGCTGAACTAGTCCAGAGATGATTCTCTCCGTTGCATTTGATATATCTAATCGTCTTGGATGAGCGGTTTAGGAGATTTTGGCACATAGTAGGGAAATATTTCTCCGGACGAAGGTTGGATTCAATGCGTGGACGAATCAGAAAGATTTACAGCAACCCTGTGTTGTTTTGTCGATGAAAATCTTACTAAAGGTTTACTTATCTTTTTAAATCGGGCTAGATCGACTAAGGATTAAAAGCTCTAGGTTCGGATTTGGAAAACTGCGTACTGAGATAATATTGGTCCGAATTCTTGACGAGGTCGGTTCGAGCAGTAGTTATTATAATTTGTTGTGTTAGTAATCATACCGAATTTGATACTTTAAGCTTTATTTTTCTCTTTCATTAAGGTATCTACATTGTTACACGTCCGCGTAATGTGGAGCGATGGAAGTACATACAAATGCAGAGACAGACATCTCGGATATAAAAAGTTACACCTTTTTCATAATGAAATTAAAAGCCAACGAAAAGAAAAGTCTCATATGGTCATTAGGAAAGACATTAATAGAAGAAGAATAAGATTTTTGCCTAACGATTTTCGTCCTTGAATACAAAAAGTTTCGTTAGTTTGCTTCAGCTTCTTCATCAAAACGCAAATTCAATTAAAAAACATTTTCACTTTTTACTTACTATTTAACATAGACGAAAGTCCACTACCACCTGCCACTATCACACCATTGCCACTGACCACAGTTGTGCCTTCTCCACTGCCACTCCCACTCGAACTGCCGTTAACACGACCGCCACCCAGAACCACATTAACGGCTGCTGTGGTATATCCGCCATTTTCATTGTCATACTTTCCATTTCCAGTGCTGCTGCCGCTTCTTTGCGATCCAATAATATCTCCGGCCGTTGTTGATAGAAATATTAGTGCTCCGATTAAACACCACGGCGCCATCAGCTTGTTACTTTTTTGACAAAGTCCAAACAAAACATAGACGTGGAATGAAGACATTGAAGTTGAATCATTATTTGCTGCCGTTTTGAGCTGCTCATAAAGCTGATTTTTGGCTTCTTTTCTCGACTTTTGTAGTTTAGCAGGAAAATCTGTAATGGAAAAGAAGTATTTGATAGCGTTCATTTATGAACTGCGTCTGCTTTGATTGAAAATTAGTTTGAAATATATGTATGTAAATGTAAACGATTTTTAAATAATAAATAAGTGCTATCGTGTTTCCCCAAGGCATGCCAAACCCCTCCGAGTGAATTTCAGACGACTTTCTTATAAAAAGTCATACGCCATAAGTTTAGATTAGGTTTAACTGGCTGACTCATCGGGTCTCTCTTATAGGATATTACAGCCACTGCACTGCCACACTCTTTATTGTGTCTTTGTTTTGAAAAGAATTGCTGTTATTTTCGCAAATTGAAGTCGTTTTGGTTAAGTCATAACCGATTGAAGGTTCTGTAGCTCTGAAGTCCTAAAAATCATAGTCCATATAAAAGTTTTATCAGTGGTCTTGATTTCAGCCCTTTATTGCTAGTAAAAGCTTTGCTCAGCATCATAAGTTTCTCATGTAGTTTTCACGATTCCTCAGCTCTTAATTCGTTCCCAAAGTTTACTCGCCTGACGAAGTAAGATTACTTCTTGCGTTTGTTTCATTTCTCTGAAGAGAACTGGTGGATTTATTATTAGGATAATCTGTAAAGCTTTTTTAGCCGAAGGCTCGAATTTGTGGTATGCGTCTTGATGTTTTTCCAAAAAAATGAAGGGACCTACTATTTATACTATGAGGTGGGTTGACATTCCTTGCCGATGGGCGACCGCATCAGAAAATGCATCTTAATTTTTTATTTAATTTTATTTTCTATAAATTGTGGACGTTGCTCGGACCAGGTCTCAAACCCCCCGACTATTACGGTCGAGCCAGTATTTTTATCGACACTTTATATGGTGTGACCACAGCCAACTTCGGGTTGTATGAAATTAAGACCTTTATGGCCACTTGGCTATCCGTAAATATATGTTCTCATCCTTTCAAAGCCTGCAACCCCAGTAGCTCTGCCGCCATTCTTATAGCAAATGTTTCGGCTTGGAAGATGCTGTGAACCCCTCCCTTTGTTGAAGAGAGCATGTATTCATCAATTTTAGGATATGATACACCTCAGACAGTATTTCTTCTATCGATGCTAGTAAATTTCATCGCACTTAGCATATTTTTATTGATCGTGAGTTTCTCGAGCTCATCCATTACGTTGATTAGGCTTTCATTGTCTTAGATGCCATAGCCGCAAATCCCCGATTTGGCGCCACTTGTGAACTTTAGGCAAAATTGATTTTTGCTGCCAAACATTTCATGCCCAAACCCTCCAAAAAAATAGACTATCAGGAGTCAGTATATATGTCGACTTCCTCCACAGCGTCTCTCACAGTGATGCGACGATTCTCCTGCAGAATTTTTCTTTTATTTCGTTGGGGGTCCATGGTGAGTGTCGCGATTTACATCTTTTTCCAATTTGAGGTGCGTTTGTTGAGGTGCTTCCAACAGTTAGAGCCGCCCAAGGTTTATTCTAAGCCGCTTCCGAAGCACCGAAGGATTGCTGGGAGCAACTCTTGTTGTTGTTGTAACCGCAAATTATTCCCCGAATTGGTTTTCGGGGAATATTGCGAGAGTGACAGTCCTTGGCCGGATAAAAAATCCGGGTCGTTCCGGTTTAAAGACCCGACTGTCGCGGGAACTATTGGATTTTAGTCGCCTCTTACGACAGGCATGCCTTACCACGGGTAAATTCTTGAGCCCCTAACCCGCAGGGGTTAGCAACTCTTATTTCTTGCTATAAATACTTCCAGAGGGGCTCGACGCATTCAATTAGATTTTTTTTAATAATTCAAAATATTCGTAAGGCTCGGATTTGCATCCATGATCCTGTTAACCACTCAAAAAATCCCTGTGCTGAGGAATTCTATTAATTGAGCAACACAAAACCATCTAAACAATACCAAAAGTGGGAGGGGCGCAAAGTAGTCCTAGCTGTAATGTACTCATGTGCGTAAGTATGTATGAAAGTATGTGTGCAAATGGTTAAAATTCCGTTCAACACCTCAAAGCATTCTTTTACAATTTCTGGGCTTCCTTGCTATTTTCATACTGCTCGCGAATGAATCTACGCGTATCGAACGCCTCAGGTACGGGCGCGGCTTTGCGGTTGCGTTCGTTGACTATGGCGACAGATGTATATAATTGTCATCATTTACAACTTTTTTCTCTATTCTTCTTCCAGTTATTTTCGTTATCGCTGTGCTTTTTTCCCATCTATTACTTCTATTACTAGCGCAGTAAACAAAGAAGCCCTGGCAATATCTTTGTTTGTGTGTTTGTTTGTATATTTGAATAGCAATATTAAACGAGCGTTGTAAGTAGCGCGTATGACATTTTGTTGTTGTTGTTGTTATGAAAACTTCTAATGGGGAGGGGGGGAGTTAAATACGCTTCTAAAATTTTAAATGACTAAATGGCTCTCGGCTTAAGCCTAGTATACGAGTAAGTGTGTTTATTCGCTGATTATTTTGTTTGTTTTTATATTTACATGAATAAAGACATACAACTGCCGTATCCGCTTCCACATGCTAATGCATGCATACATAAATATACACATACATATATATGCCTGTATTGTATTTACATTTGTATCACATTTCGAGTTAACGAGAGTATCATTATTCTTGGACCTAACAGTAATCGAGGTATACACATATTGCCACAGGCCAAGCAAGCTACCGATATTCAAAATTTTTACAATTGATTCATTGGTAGCCCACTTTGGCTTTTGGCATGCTCTCCGTGCAAGGAGTGGTCGGAATATTAAATGCGGTAGGTCCGTTATAAATAAATAAAGGAGCGTGAGTACAGACTTTTGGCTTTTGACTTTGATTAGCGCTTTGTATATACTAAGTCGCCTTCGAACGGCTGATGGTTTCCTTAAGAGGAGCTTTCACTTCATGTTAGAAATACACTCCGAGAGGTTTCTATAATTTTTAAATGCTGGTCGAACCAAGACTCAAACCCTGGCCTTCCGAATGACAGTACGCACACTAACTACTCGGCTATCGTGGCTTTTGCGTATTGATAATGAACCTGCCCACCCGTAATTGCTTGGCTCTAATCTCTGATTTTTTGACCAAACACAACTTCGTGAATCCGCCACAGCTATATCCCGCTGCGACTTTTCCTGTTAGCAGTGTTAAAGAGACCCATAAACGGCACTTTGCGTCAATTGAGGAGTAGTAATCGCTGAAGGGGTTCAAGGACATATACTCTTCCATACCATAATAGAATTTCTTCTAGGATTGGAAAAAACGCTCACTTAAGTATATTGTCTGATACCAAAAAAATAGTTAAGTTAACGCAAACTCAATTTAATAAGCCGCACATCCCGTACAGCACGCCATATCCTCTTTCGACTTTAATTCTGGGCTTGAAGCTGGAATTCCTTGGTTCTCTTCTATTAACCCAAAAATCACAGTTGAGCCATCGCTTAGACGGTTATAGCCGTGTAAGCAAGAGCACATCAGTGCTTTCTTCGTTTCGTAGCCCGCCACCATTTGGAGTCACCAAGTAAAGCTAGATCCACATCTACTTGATACTTCAAGTTGAAGGTCTTTCTCTACGTCGTATATACATCTCCCACAGCTCAATATTCTATCCGAAGAACTCAAACCTTTTCCTCCGATCCACCCACCCATCTGTTATAAGCCTCTACAAAGTAGGGCGATTAGAATGTGCGACTTCTAAAGTTGGGTAATTCTTCGTCGAGCGAGATCTAAACTATTAATTTTTACACTCATTCGACTCTTGGTGTTAGAATAGTTCAACGAAAACTTAACCAGGGTTCTTTGATACCTGCGCTCTATTTATACTGCTGTATTGTTCGACCGCGATGTGGTGTTTTACTTAATGGTGTACATTCATACCAATATAGTATTTTTAAACTCCTTTAAAAAATATGGAATTTGGTATTCAAAAATTTATATCGATTATTGATATTTCGTGGGTTAAAATTATCGGTGATATTAATCGTTTACTTTTACAGTCGATATTAAAATATCGATATTTCGAGAGATGGAATTATTGGTGTCATCCGTCGATTATTTTTTTAAAACATCGATTTTTTAATATCGATACCAGACTTTGCTATCTTTGCCCTATTTACATCGGTATACCGCAACTTTCAATTACCAATACACATTCACGAAAATTAATTTGAGAGCTTTTCAAAAAAATGTTAAATTTGATATTCGAAAATAGTTATTTATCGATATTTTGAAAATTGAAAGTATCGGTGATATCTATCGATATGTAAAGGAATATTTTAAATAGAGATATGTACATTGGGTCGTGGATTAATGAAGTAAGTGTTGTCCTTTTGAAAAATATAGAGAAAATAGAGCTTTCTTATATAATAAAATCTAATTTATCGTGTTGGATTAGTAAATGATTTTTTTGCGAAGTATTTCGACGGAAAACTAAATAAAATCGATGAGCTAAGAGAGTTGTTCTGAGAACTAAAGGGCGTAGAATCCAACCGGGATTCGTTAATCGTTCTCTGTAATGTTATCAAATTTGATTTATCGAAATTCAGTATAATCGGGTTCTATATCTACCGAACTTAATTTATCGGAAGCTACACACATATGTATATTCGAGTTTGGTGTTGTGCATTTCGCTTTATCGTCAAACTGAACCAATTGAAGTTTTCCAAAGTTAAACGTTATTTTTGTATAAAAAACGAAAAAGTAGGATTGCATTGAGCTGCGCGACGACATGGAACGCAATTCGGACATGGCCACAAGCCATGCCAATGGCAATCGGATAAAACCCGAGCAGCAATGGCAAGAGTTGACGGAGTTTATATTGCGTCAAATCAAATGAAATTTCTAGTTGTAATATGAGCGGGTATTCGTCACGGCTGCAGCCAACTGAAGCAAAGCTGAAAATCAGTTCAGAAGAGCACAACTTTATCTAGTTGGATTAGGCAAGAAAACAAGTAAAGAGTGTTTTTTATAGACATGTGGTTTTCAATGAGACGATACTTTATTTGGAGCTGGTTATTTTTGACAGCTATTGCCAGTTTTTTACTCTGTTTGGTTTGCCCTGTCAAAAAGAACAGACTTATTCCGAAACAACGTTTGCCAAAAGTGCAAATTCATTACTAATTTACGGTTTGGGTCGCACAACACATCGTACACTGCGTCCAACATAGGGTCTATAGTGGACAATGCGCATTCTCAGAGATGAAACACAATGCGTACCGAAGTGGCTTTGTTGCTGTAGGGCAGAGTATCAAAGAAGACCCGAATGAGTCCACACGCCAGGCGTGCAACAATCGGTGCCCATCCTTTTTATTACAAAGTCCAACTCGGGCGAGAGATGCCGCCGAAAATCACTATTCGTTGTGCTCTATGGGCAGAGGAAGTCATTGGTCCATATTTCTTCAAAAATGAAGCTGGCCAAAATTTTACAGTCAATGGGAGAATATAGGGACACGATGAAAGTTATTTTTTTGCCTGTGTTGGACTATGTTGCTATGGACGACTTTTGGTTCTAACAAGATGACGCTTCATGCCATACAGCCAACGAAATAAACAATTTATTGGAGGCGTGGTCACCAAGATAGTGCGATTTTTTGTAAGGTTATGTGAAATCGCTTGTCTACGCAGATTAGTCCGAGATGATTGACGATTTGTAAGAGTATATTGGGTACCAATTGCTGCAGAAAGTGGTCGAAAATTGGGGCTCTCATCTGGCATTTATTCGAACCAGTGGCGGTAGCGATATCAAGCTCGAAATCTTTTTGAAAACATAACGCTAACCATTGGTCTTTATAATAAAGCTAAATTCTTGGCCATAACATTAAATTATATGCCTTATATTTTTTCTTAAAAAGCACTTGTCTAAAAAAACACCCTTTATGAAAAATATATATTTATAAATATCAAAATTAATGGATTATTTTAGCTGAAAAGAAGATTTCATGTTTTTAGGCTTATATTCATACAAAAAATGCACAATAAATACTTTCAGTAGTTTGCGTGCCCAAAACTGCAGTTCTCTTGCCCAAACCAAAACTGTCTTATCGTAGTTTTGGATTAGATTCATTTAACTGATATCAAATTGAAGTATTTCAATGGTTGGTTGGTTGGTTGGTTGGTTGGCAAAGGACGATTGAGAGCTCGTCCGCGGGTGGGCGCACCTAAGCCTTTGAGTATGCCCATTGGGCACCCAGCTACGATAGGGCTGCAATAATTAAGAATTTTTGTCTCCCCACAAATAAAAGACTATACCACCCGGATCTTCATAAAATTTTATAAGCTTGCGTAATCTCAGGCGTATTTCTTGTATTAAGAATTTTTATTTATTATTTCCTTAGAATCTTTGTAAAATAAAGTTTTTACAGCATTTGGCTTTACCTCACAATGAAAACCAAGCCATATTGGATTTTTTCGCGTGGTTTTATTAGCACTTTTTACAACTTAAGTACTCGTATGTGGCCTGCGTTTAGGATTTTCGATTTTATATACCGTAAACTTTCATATAAAAAATTGTCTTGCATGTGATTTGCTGTGAGCTTTCTTTAATTTGTTTATTTAATATTTTTTCTTAATAATAATTAAATAAGCATTCATGGTTACTTCGTGAAAGCAACGAATTTTCTTTATGATTTTCACATTTTCTGCGCATTTTATTAGTTTTCAACATGTTTTTATATTAAATTATTATTATTATTATTTTTTAAATTGTTATCTTTATATATTAATGGTTTTTGTTTATCTTTATATTATTTTATTTTTATTTTTAATTTAAATTTTTTATTTTTTTATTTTAATTTAGTTTAAATTTTTACTTTCAGTTTGCATTTCTTTGTATTTTTCCATTTAATTTAAATTTTTATTTTATTTTTCTCTTTTTAAAATTTTTTTCCCATATTTTAATCAATTTTTATATTTTTATTTAATTTAATTTAATTTTATTTTTTATCTCCACATCTTCACTGTTGGTTTAGCACTCAAACACTTGCTTACTGTTATTCGCCGTTATCACTTAGATTACCCCTCAAATACTTGTCGCACAGAATTCTCGTTAAATTTAAATTATCTTAATAATTAACTCTCCAGGCATTAATCTAAATGCCATCTTCGGACGTAAGCATGAATATACGTGTATGCCGTGCCACGAAATAACGGTCCGCGTCCATTTCGTGCAGAATCCTTTGCGCAACTGAATACGAAGCTATTCCACACCGTACAACGGTATATGGCACGACAATTCCTGTATAGGCCGACACAAATATATTGGGTAAAATTGTAACAACAACAACAACAACAGCAACTACAGCATCTACAAAAACAAAAAAAGCACACAAAATAAATACATCGGTATGCAATTTTAGGACACGAAGACAAAGATGTGGGCGCATGCCACACAATCCAATAACACGAATATGCCAGCCAATATTCATACAAAAATAAGAGCGCAGTGTAAGACGAAGCGAGCAAAGGTTCCTACCTTCACATACATATATACATACATACATATGTGGACAGTTAGCAGAAAACCGAGTTGTGCACGAAAGCCAAAACAACAGTATACGCGAGCCATATTAGTGGAGTAAAGTTCGTACCGATACGAAAGCCGAACGACGAATATCATAATTGAAGTTGAATAGTTTCTATGGAACCATAGAGCTATGGAGCCATGGAGCTTGCCGAGTGTTGTGTTGTAAAGTAAGTTGTTATTCGTTTTCGTATACGTGGGTTATTAACTTCGGTAGAGAGAGAGAGAGCGCCGGCGGTGTGCTGGCCATATGGCGTTGGGTGGTCTGTACTGTGTTGTGACTGATTGGGGCTGGTCTGTTTAATGTTTTCGGATGCTTCAAACCGGTGTTATTGCCGTTGTATGCACATACACACACATATATATATTGTGACAGAGCGAGCGAGCGGGCGACCACAGCAACATACCGCAAACACGTAACGAAAACATAACGAGGAGAATAAGGCAGTCAAATGCTTGTGTGTGTGTGTGTGTGTGTGTGTGCATGAATGAGCATATGTGTTGTTGGTAGGCAGGATTAGAGTGTTTCCTGGAGTATCTGAAAAGGTAGATGAATAAAAGGTTTGTCGGTTCGCTCTCATACATGTCGGATCAAGCTTCTTGGCGTAATATTGGTTTGAACAGCTGTTAGCGGCAATTAAATATAAGTATATGTTTTATTATATGTTGTCACCTGTTTGTGAATATACATATATACATATTCATATATGTATATATATATACATAGATATATACAATGTCTCAATGTATGATACATTCGCGCTACACTTTTGCATTTGTATACATATATAATAAATATGTACATACATATGTATCTGATATAGAAAAGAGTGAGATCCTAGCAACGCTGGACATACATATGTACATATGTATGAATGTATATTGTTCTCGAAATTGATGTTATAGAATAGCATTTGTGTTTACATTGTACATTGTGCTCTCACTAATTTGGGTTGGGTCAGAAATATGTACAAATGTATGTATGCATGTATGTGGATTGAAAAATTTTCAAATTTGCTAAATCCTATCACTTCCTGCGGAATGATACTAGCAAATGATAATCACTGTTGCAGCCCAGAAATTTATTGTGCTCTATAGTCTTAAGTGTTTTCACTTACATTTCAAAGAGCTGGAATGTGGCAAACGTACAAACAGACATACATATATATGTATGAATATGAGCTTATGTGTATACTCTATATTATTTGGCACTCACATCATTTAGTTTTTGCGAGCTGGGCATTTCTACCATAGAAATTGCCAAATATATTGCGAAGATCTCGCACCTTGACAGATTTTTTACTGAATATTGTCGACTTCTATCAAAGACACGGCAGGAGGTCCTATGAAGATGCGAGATAAAGAAGAAAGAAAAGCTGTTTTCATGCCATGCCGAAGTCTTTATACTTTTCAGGACCATATCAAATTTATGGAATCTCATTTGATGATTAAATATTAATTATCGTATCTGAATAAATCGGTTGTATGGGGGCTGTAGGTTATAGTTGTAAAAATGTTTATTTGTATAAATGTGTAAAGAATACAAACTTTCAAGCTTTTAGCTGCTTTTTTGGCGGATTTGAACATATTTCAACAAGTCGTTAGTCCTCTGATTTCGATAATTTTCAGTGCTAATGTGTAATTCATGTCTGCAGAATACTAAAGTTTGCGATCTTAGATGGCTTTTTGGCAAATTTATTACTCAAAATCCTTGAAAAATCAGTCGTACATATATGTTATAGGTGGCCCGATCTGACAGGTTCCGAAAAATGCTCGTTTTGTTGAAATTTATCAAAAACTGAGACACAACAAACAACAAACAAGTTAACGCAACTCATCATTCCGACCCGATCGGTATGTCCGGACCGAGCAAAAGTTTTACTTAGCGACTGAAAAATACTTTGCTTAAGAAGTAACGGATGGATTTAAACCTCATTGGTTTGACAGATGTTCCGGAACAAAGATTTTCATGGGGCGGAAAAACGAATGAACTAGTACGAACGAGGTTACGTATACGCAGTGTTGTACGCCATTAATTAGTTTTAAGAGAAAAGAAATATATGTAGATGCGGATAGTTTTTTTTTTATTGTTTTAACCGCTTTTACTGACAGCTCATAATACTTGATGCAAAACTGGTCTATGGAGTTCACTCTCCACTGCACTGTCTGCTAAGCAGAACTCTTTGCCACCATGGAGGCCGCCGAGTGGCGGCTTAAATCTAGTTACAACATACATACATATATATTTGGGCAATCAATACCACATCAAAAGTGGCTATTAAATGTAAAAGCAATGGTGTAAAGTTGCTATTTTCAGATATGGGTCGTCTCTGGCCTTATACGCCTTTTTGGGATTTTTGGGATATCGAATTAAGTGGCTGCCGCTATGATATTATCTTCCTAGATTGTCTTTTTCGCCAGGTAGTTTTATTAAATTTCGGTTCCGGTTGGTTCACGATCATTCTGTGTAAGTATTTCTGCATACTCTCGATTGCAGCTTTTGTTTCGGTGCGACCCGTGCCCACTGCTTTGTTTAACTCCAAGTTCCACACTTTTATGGTCGTCTCAACGACGGTATCGAGATTCCTACCTTGCAGATTGCCTGTAACCGTAAATAACTTCCTCCTGAGTTCTCTCAACAACATAGTTGGTTTTCCATTCTTCCTACTCATTACTGTGGCCTTCAGCTTGTACGGCGAAAAGTGCTGATACTTTCGGGATAGGTACCATTGCATATCCAGCACAACAGCCGATCTTGTTTATGCTCTTTATCTTGTTCCTACGCCACAGCATACTCTGTGCTCAATATTTTTAAGGGGTCTCCTCAACAGCGGGTCTCCTTACTAGCGGATCTAGGTGGTATTTCGCCATAAATGCTGTTATATATATTAAAATAACCAAATTTTTAAATCCCAAATTTCTATGTGAAACTATTTAAAATTCATAACGGCAACCATTGAAAGGCTGTGCTAATAAATATGAAAAGAAATGTGAAAATTTTCAGTGATGCAGTTGAAGACAAAACGTATAGCCCGAACAATATTCGGTACGCCATCCATTTTTTCAACGCTTTCTGCCCCGCAGGCTACGAGTTGCCGCAATAAAATTTGTCGGGTGTGAACTCAGACTGTCTTTGCAACCGTTCTATGTAACATATATGAAAGTTGGGAGAAACTATTTTTTATCACCAGTACATATGTATGTTTGTATGTGCGACCGTTGAGTGATGTGTTCAGTTATATGAACACTTTTAACTGATGAACCCATATTTTTTAGGCAAAATTAATATATGTTTCACCAAAATTTGAAATTTTATAGAAATATCTATTTACAATAAACGCCTATCGAAATCCTATATCTGCCTCTTGGCTCAACGTCTACATTTATCTAATACGTATTTTTTCGTATGAGCACTTTCGATCGATGCGCCTAAACGTAGACTATATTTTTATGATTTTATTATGTCGAACTCTTAAGTGGTTAATCTTTTCTGGCATTTAAATAAAAATCAAACTAAATAAATAGTTTTTTTTCGCTTTTTAACCGGACATTTGATAGTTGCAAACAAAACCAGCCCAATTGTCGAAAGGCAGTGGTAAATTGTGGTCCCTTTTATTTTCTCTACCAGCACAAGTGCCTTAATTTGAGTGTTGTTATACTGATATGCTTATAAATATATGTATGTATATACTACTAACATATCAAACCATTTGAAAAAAACTAAAATAAAATTATGCATACCAAACGTCCACTGGAATTTGTACGAAATGACCAACCTACTTTTGCGGTTATTTGAATACTTGACTATGTGATGTGCATGTATGTATGTATATATTTGTGCTTGCAGGCTACTTCTCGTTTTTATATTCCGTCTCGAATGTAAATGGTTTTACAATACAAAACATACATATATCTTTTCGCCGCTTATCACTGTTTGAAGTTGTGTGTCCAAGATAAAATTCGTAAAAAGGCTTACAAGAGCACTTCGATAGATTTAATAGATTGTTTCTTTATTTCATTCTACTTTTCTTTTACACAAAAAAACCCTTGAAGTTTCCTTCATGCACTTACATATGCTCATACATATATGTGTTACCCATACGCCCATTGTAGG